TTATAAAAGTTAATTTTATATATAAAAACAAATGTATCATTTATCATATAGTTTACAATCTTTATCTACTTAAATTTAATCATAAATAAAGGGGGCCATAGTAGCCAAGTGGACAGCATGATCAATTCTCAGCTCGTAGATCCCGCGATCATGGTTTGATTCCCACCATCACCCCGGCCCTTTTTTTTCACGCAACCCTTCGTTCCAACTATATAAATATTAAATAATTTAATTTTACAATATTTTTATAATTTTTATTAAATAAATTAATTAATAAAAAATATTAAAACTATATAAATATATAATTAAATGTTTTTCCACAGGGCTCTGTACCAGGACAAATCTGATAGTCCCACCGACTACAATAACAGCGGTGACTTGAACTGGGATTCCTCATAAATTATTATAGATCACCCCCCCCCCCCAAATGCTTAAACAACAAGAAATAAAAATGACCGTTACATATAAAGGATTATTATTCCGATGAAGAAGAACAAATTCACCAATCTTCTCTGTACAAATAATGAAAAAACATTGATTTTTAATAAAAAATTAAATATAAATAATAAAAAGATGTATAATTAATTAGTGTATTTCATTTGGTTTGTTTTCTTTTTTTATACTTTACAATGATTTATTTGCTTGTTAGTCAAAATTTGAATGAACCCTTCCTAATTCCCATAAATATACTAATATAGAATCTTATTGCATTTAATTAAAATGTGTATTAATGGTGAGTAGTTACAATGTAAGTTGATTGTTTAATATATATAGATTCTTTTTTGTTTTTTGTAAATAATGCACTTTTACCAAATTTATATATTTTTGTTAACAAAGTGTTAAAAATATATTTTTTACTTATTGGTGCAAAAACCTATTTTTGACAATAGTACTCATAATTGTCACTACTGGCAGAAATAAACTTAAATTATACTAGTTAATAACATAAATCTCACTGTATTTTCTGACGCAAATTGTTAATTTATTCTTTATAAGAGCCCTACAGTATTATTAATATTATTTTAATTAGGTGTAAAGGAATCATAAAATTTCATTTTTTTTTTTTAAATTAACTTATAAATTTTCTTTATAGCATTTTTTACACAATAAAAGAACAGATGCTAAATGCTTTATTTTGTTTTCTACATAGAAATAAAAGGCCATCTCATATTATAAAAAATATTCTCATTAACTGACAAATGTTATATTTGTTTAATAAAGATTATAAATTGTTAACCTGTACCCATTTTTTTTATTTTTTATTTAATGAATTAAAACTATATTATACTACTAGATGGTTTAAGCAAACAATGTAAGTTGAAACATAGTAGCCAATCACCCAATAAAAGGATATCTGAATGTTATAGATATTGTCGATTATGGATTCTTTTGTAAAATTTCCACACAACTTGAGTATTTAAAAAAATCCTTATTCTTAAGAAACCGCTCATGTCAGTCTTCCACGAGGCTGAGAATTTACTACTCCTTGAAATTTATTTTTATATTGTTTGAACAGACTTATGTATACGTTTTGTATTTGAATGGTGTGAAATAAGAACAGGCGCTTCAATAAACAATGTTGATGTCAGTGATAACTTCTTTTATTCAGCTTTGAAATTGATATATTTTATCAAATAATAGTTTAAATAAATTATTACTTTAAAAAAAAGTACGAATATTCACATTTTATTTACCTAAGCGTTGAAAAAATTAAATTAAATAAAAACACTTTATTATAGGAAGTGTGAACAAACAGCATTTCTCAAATTGACCCTATCAAAAATTACAGATTACAAATTAGAAGATTGGTCATAATTTATAATAGTTATTGAAAATGCTTATTGTTGAAGCACATTTCAACCCCAATGAGGATCACTGGGCCGGCTCGGTAAAGAAGCCCTCACATCAAGAGAGGCTCAAGAGCACTATTGTTGATAGGTGGCCCTTGGAGGACCTGACTCATGGAAGGTCATCCTCACCCGATTAAGAATAGGCCGTGTGAGGTTGACTCACAAACACTTACTTCTGGTTGAAAGTGAGACTTGTGTTTGAGCACAGCAGCAGGTATCTGGGCTCCTCTTCCAATTTTTAGAGCAAACTAGGCTTTTTTACTCTATATAATACTTTTTTTTTTTTTTTTGGTGAGTGTGTTGAGACTGAATGTATTTATTAGTGTGAATGTTTAGTATGATAAGGCTGATGGTGGAACCATACCCCGATGGACCCCTTTCACAGAACAAAATCCAAGGTGAATCCTTTTCATTCAAGTATTTAAAATTAGATACTTATAGTATATGTAGTAAATTCAAGTTTTATAATTTAGCATTAGCCAGTCCATTCCTAATTAGACAATGGAGAGGGACATCAGTATGAAGACAAACATTAGATTGATATACTTAACTTTATTTATAAAATTCGGAACACAAAAATCAAATTGGAATGGATAGGTATGTAAAACTCGATCCAATTTCCAAAGTAATAATTTGAACATTAATGATAAATCAATTAATGGGAAATGTGAGATTGTTTTAGCCTGCACAATTTGGATATGTTGGGTTTAATTATTGATAGCTGGAGATGTATGTCAGGTTCAACATCTAGACAGCTTCTGTATTTAGTTTTGATGGTTATAATAGAAAATCCAAATTCGCATAGGTAAGTTGTGGCAAATAGAAGAACACATTTTGCTTTTTCAGCGAGCAGTTGAATTTTTTTGTTAGACAGACAGAGTCAAAAATGGGGGTAAGTATCGGACTCAAAAGTAGATTTCAAGTCCACTAATTTCGTGGTCTGCTTGACCAATTAATATCTTACAATTAATTAAGGTTTTCAGTTGAGATAAAAAAGTCAATGGCACGAGCAGGATTCGAACCCACAATCTTCGGCTTGATACGCCGCTGCTCTACCAGATTCACTCGGATGAAAAATGGCAAAAAAGAGGAAAAATTCAAAAGGTGTAATTGAGATGGGAAGTTGGTGTCCGAGTGGATCGAGGTCATGATAGCTCAAGTGGTAGAGCAGCGGCGTATCAAGCCGAAGATCGTGGGTTCGAATCCCGCTCATGCCATTGACTTTTTTTATCTCAACTGAAAACCTTAATTAATTGTTTCAAGGTGGAGTCTGAAGTAATGAAACATTCGTATCTACTTGAAAATTTGGTTCGCTTGTCGAAATTGAAAACGGTTTGACCACCCATTCATGGCCTTGCAGGATTGTATCTCGAGCAGTTGGGAAGTTGTGCTCAAAGGTTATCTATCAACTTTGAAGGTCTTCATATATTTCATCATAAGCTCATAATCTCCAATTGTTTTCATTAAAAAAAAAAAAATTATTTAACACAGGAAAACCCACAACCACTTCCTTTTCAACTAATTCAACCCAAAACTGGATTTTTCTTTTGAAGGCATGAACTTTGTCATTATCATTGAAAGATGTGATACTCCCTTGCAAAGAAAGACCCATTTCAATCATTTTAATGAAAATATACATATGACGGCCAATTTGAAATTGTGGTCCATCAACAAAGATAAGACTTCAGAATTCCGATAATCTTAAAAGTGTTTTCGCACAAGACAGCCACCTACCACTTCTGTATTCACCTTGGAATGATGTAAGCTTCCCATATCGACACATAGTATTATGAAATGTCTTGACTACAATGACCATGACTATATAATTAATAATTTGAAAAGACTCATCCAAAACTTTCCTAAAACAGGCTGGCATTTATTTATTGGAGAACACAATGACTACTGCTGCCAAATAAAAACTTTTGTTTTCAGTAATCATTATCATTAGTTTTTAATTTTATTTATTCTCCATTTATTTTTGTAATTGTTACGTTTTCTCCAATTTGGGGAGCAATAGGTGATTGAGGAATATCGAGTACTCCACGACCCTAAGGGCATGGTATGAAATTAGAAAAGAGTGTTTTTAAGAGTGAGGGAGAATGTGAAAGGGTTTGGATTTAGGAACCGATTGCATTGGAGGCTGAAATTACCTAGTTGTGTGTTGATAGCCCCCGGAGCCCAACCACAGAAGCTGGACTGCCCACACCCGGATTGGGTGATTCTCGACGCCTGCCACTAATTTATTGTAAATTACAAAATCTGGAATTGCTGGCAAGTGGTAGGCTCAGCTCTGCTCTCGAGCCCCATCTGCAGAATTGGGCTCTCTATTGCTAATAAATCAGTATCAGTAAAATTCACTAATTTCGTGGTCTGCTTGACCAATTAATATATTACAATTAATTAAGGTTTTTAGTTGAGTTAAAAAAGTCAATGGCACGAGCAGGATTCGAACCCACGATCTCCGGTTAGATATGACACTGCTCTGGCACTTAACACCAACTTCAACTTAAATTCAAAAGGTGGGGTGAGATGGGAAGTTGGTGTCCGAGTGGATCGAGGTCACGATAGCTCAAGTTGTTGAGCAGCGGCGTATCTAGCCAAAGATCGTGGGTTCGAATCCCGCTCGTGACATTGCCTTTTTTATCTCAACTAAAAACCATAATTAATTGTAATCAGTAAAATGTACAATACAATAAAGTTTTCTGGGTGTAATTAAAAATTAGACATTAATATTTTAAAATGTTATTCTCCATTATAAAAATACATCCAATATAAATATTATATTTTAAAATTATAAATTATTTAAATATGAAACATTTTGTTCCTGAAATGTGGTATTCCATGTTGGAAATATATAAATCACAGACAGTTAAATTTTTTAAATGCAGTGGCAATTTCAGAAGAAATTGACAAAAAAAATCTCTAATAATCATTCCGTTAATTACTACTAATCTTGTAGTTTACTAATCTACTAATTCCTCTTATTTTTCATTGTGGGTTAAATCTGGGTTAGTCTTCAAACTTCCCTTGGACACTTTTACATATTTATACTTAAATTTCAAATAAGGCAGGAATTTAGCACTGATAAATAGGACTATAATGAATGAATGCTCATTCATAACAACTTAATCATGAATAGTACTTTGTTACCTCTAAAGAGAGTTTGTCAACAGTATCTTCGTTTATTTCGACAAAGCGCTTGTTCTGCCGGCTGAAGTAGAAAATGTCACCCGTGTAAATGTCAAACCAGAGAGCGTGGATGTGAAGTTCATACTTTTCAAGGCGTCGCTTCAAAAAGCCATAACTCGCGATGTTGGCTAATTGTTGTAAGCAATTTATCTGTTTAAACAATACGGTTGAAATTGTTCGTCTAGATTGAAATAAAGTCGTGAAATTACCTGAGACAGTTTGTCTTCGGTAGAAAATCTATTCTCGTGGTCTATGTAAGCAACAAACTTCCTCAGCGGAGTTTCAGACTGAAATATCAACGGGTCCTTGTAGCCAGATATCTGAAATTCATATTAGATTGTAAACACTAAAATTGCATTTAAAAAATCAGATTTGTGGGTTACTTCCAACTCTTGGAATTTTTCCAATGACGAGTACGCATGATTGCAAAGCCAGGATCTCAAAGGTGAAATCCGTCTATTGTCCTTACTAGAAAACTCTTCATCTCTCAGTTTATACAGTAGGTTCATTGCCTAAAATCACAACAAAAAATACATGTTATATAAAACTAACATTAGAAAAAATTTTACTCCAAAAATTTAAAGAGCATTCACATAATAAAAAAATACTTCATTATCAGCACATGTTTTTGTAATTTTAATTGTTAAACACTCTTAAGGCAAAAAATTTGTACAATCATAAAAGCAATGTTACATTAAAATATCACCTTGCAATCCGAGTGTCCACAAACAATTATGTGCCTGATGTCATTGACAATGCAACCTAATTCCAAAGCAGCTGGTTCATTTGTTGTTATCTCGTCTCGAAAATGGTGAGCATGAGGAATAATATTGCCAGCGTTACGAACTAAAATTTAAAAAAAAAAGTTTTTATTGTAATTATTAGATTTTAACAAAAAATCAACATGATTAAAATAATAATTACCGACGAACATGTCACCGACATTGGTTTTTGTAAACCTGGTAGGGATCATTCTACTGTCCATGCAGGTGAAGAAAACTGCTTTGGGCTGTAAAAATGGTAACAAATTGATGTTGAGTATTAAAACTGCCAATAAATAGAATCAATTTAAAGTATCCAACTAGGCAGATCCTTGCTATTGGGTTGTCCGGAAAATAATGCAGGATTTTAAGTTTTCATTAAAAAAAATCTATATAAAATATTCTGTTTACGTTTACAGGATTACTCATTTGTATGAATGTCAACACTTATTAATCCTCTTCCAAATGATATTGTTTGTTTACCTCTGTAGCATTCCGCTACTTGGAAATAATTCAGTCATCCTTATAATGTCAAAGCGAGAATTTCGTACGATTTTCTTTTACGAGTTTAAACTCGGCCGAAGCGGAGCCCAAACGGCTAGAAACATTAACCAAGTCTGGGGCGAGGGTTGTGTTAATGAGTGCACTGTGCAAAGGTGGTTTAAAAAATTTCGGGAGGGAGATTTCAGCCTTGAAGATGAAGAAGGTCGTGGAAGGCCTTCCTCTCTTAATGATGATGTTCTGCGATCAGTGGTGGGTGCAGAGCAACTCAAAGTCAGTAAAACGACCGTCGCTGACCACCTCAAGGCGATTGGAAAAGTGAAAAAACTCGAAAATTGGGTTCCACACTCATTAAACGATCGCCAAAAAAATCAGCGCTTTGATGTTTGTGCATCACTTCTTTGTCGAAACAAAAATGACCCATTTCTGGCCAGAATTGTTACATGTGACGAAAAGTGGATTCTCTACGATAACACTAGACGTTCTGGACAGTGGCTCGACAAAGGAGAAGCTCCAATACATTTTCCAAAGCCCCAACTCATCAAAAAAAGGTAATGGTTACGGTATGGTGGGCTTCATTTGGTTTAATACACTACAGCTTCTTAAATCCTGGCGAAACCATCAATGCTGAATCATACTGTAACCAAATTAATACCATGCATCAGAAATTGGCAGTAATGAAGCCCTCTTTGGTCAATCGGAAAGGGCCCATTTTGTTGCATGACAACGCTCGACCACATGTGTCACGTGTAACGTCACAAAAATTATTGGAGCTTGGCTATGAAACTTTGCCTCACCCACCCTACTCTCCGGACCTCTCGCCTACTGACTACCATTTTTTTAGACACCTGGACCACTACTTACAACACATAATATTCAAAAATCAAACGGAACTGGAAAATGCATTTATTGACTTTATCAATTCTAAAAATTCTGAATTCTACTCAGACGGAATTAATAAGTTACCAACACGTTGGGAGAAATGTATTGAGAGTATGGGAAATTATTTTGATTAAAGAACATTGCTTTAAAGTAACTAGTTTCTTTTTTTTTGTTTAATACCAAAATCCTGCATTATTTTCCGGACAACCCAATAGCAGACTAGGTATTCCACTGGTAATTCTACTAAACGAGTTTGTAATAAAAATGTAAATATAAAATAAAAATATAAATTGCAAGACTTCCTCTTGAGGTCTGTGAGGTGATGAATCAGTAATGAAGTCGTTTCCAATCATTCTGGTCTGCCTAGTCTTACTGTTTTGGTCTGTCAGGTGAGTTTTAGCACATTTTCAGTGCTGGGTTCATGGTTATACCAGTAATTGGGGCAATACTGTAAAGCTGGAATCAATACAATAAATACCTTTTTAATAAATCAAAATATTCTCCTACAGCTAAAATACACTTCTCCCGATGTGCTGTAAGCTTTTTCAGCCCCTCCTTGTAGAAGTTTGGAGTTTGAGATGTAAGGAATTCTTTGATTGCCGTTTTGAGAGCATCTCATTTGAAAAATTTCATTTCTAAGATTAATACATATTCTAAAATGGTCCAGGGCACAAAAAAAGGTAGAAGTCAGCCGGCGATAGGTCTGGTGAATATGGTGGATGTGGAAGAACTTCAATTTTTAGCTCTTGAAGTTGTTGCATTGTCAATTTGAACCGTGAGGACAATGGTGGAGGAGTATGACCAAACTTTGATGTTTTTCATGGAGTTTCTGATAAAAAATGTCTAACACTCGGCAATATGAGTTTGCTGTGATTGTTTCAACAGTGCTTAAAAAATTAAAATGTATCAAACCACCCATTCCCCACCAAACTGTCAGCTTAATTTTTTTGGGGTGAAGACTTGGCCATCTGCTTTGGAAACTAATCTCTATCCAACCATTAGCTGATGATATGTGATTGTCGTACAGGACCCACTTTTTGTCACAAATGAGAACCTGGTTCAAAAATGGTTCATTGTGATTTCGCTACAAAAGCGATTTACAAATATTGTAACGTTAAGTCTTTCTGTGGTTCAGACAATTCAATTATACAAATTATTGGAGGTTGGTGCAGCGAGCACCTAGAAGAGAACAACAAATGAAATGCTGTTATATTTATTGATGGGTTGCGTTTCTGTCTATGTAGTTATAGCAAGACTGAAGAGTCTACCGAGAACAGGGGATGCTTACAATTCCCCAGTTCGTGCTCCCTTCAGTGCAGTTTGGAGGAGGTGCTGTAATGGTGTGGGATGGGATTTACACCGTAGGATGAACAGGATTCCATATAGTTGAAGGCACCATGACTGCAGCCCATTATGTACAAGAAATTATTGAGGAATACATCCCTCAAACCAGGGATCCATTGACAGGGACTTTCTATTTCTGGATGACAATGCCAGACCTCATAGAGGCAGAGTTGTTCATGTTTAGAAAACCTGGGAATATCCCATCTGCCTCTTCCTCCATTGTCACCAGACCGCAGATTGAGCATATGGAATGCATTGCAGAGAAGGCTTTTCAATCACCATCTGCAGCACTGCAACATCTAAGGAGTGAAATTTTTGAAAAATCAAATTAATGACAACCTTAATAACAGTAGACCTAACAGGTCCAAAGAAGTTTTAGCTAACAGAGGGCATTATACACGGTATTAATTGTTTAAAAAAATTATTGTGTCCCATAAACAAAATTATGGAACTATAACTTTTATTTTATTTTTCAAAATTCCTTAATTAAATTTTCCTTCAGTAAAAACAATAATTTATAATAAATTTTAATGCAATTTATAATATAAATAAAATAAAAATGCTAATGTAAGTAAATACTACAAAATTGGCAATAGCTCTATTCATTTTTAAGCAGTTTAGAACTCATCTGGTGACATGGACTAACTTCAAGAAGGCTACAACTTCATTTTGTAACATAACCTTCCACGAAGGTTTCATCAAGAACTGAAGTCGAAGACCTCGAATATGTTTAGCCCCATTCCGAAACAAAAAATTCTTCCCGTCGACGTCAAATTTTTCAGACCGAAACATAAAGAGACAACTCACGACTGGATGGTCGCGAACACGGGCAAATTGTTCCAACATGTACAGCCGGTCCGTTCCCCTGTAGTTCATAATCCCTCTAAAGAGCCGGTCCATATTCGAACTCGAGTCCTCTAGAACATGTAGAAATGTGGAAGCCGTGAAGATCCTTTCTCATCGCACGCTATCGCGACTTATCCTTGAAATTGCATCGGCCCATTTTGAATGTCAAAATCAAAAGGAAGGGAAGAACCGGAAATGAAATACAATCAAAATATCGATCCTGACGAACTTCAATATTTTAGATCGATAACTTTCTACCTTCAAGGTCTGATGGTGGAAACAACTAGTAACATAAATGTCGTTTATTTTACATTTGGCATTTCTTGTGAAAGTTTACTGGGTCTGAGTGATGAACCAGCAATTCGGTCGTTTCCCCTAATCTTTGACCTGTTCGTACTCATTGTTTTAATCTCTATTCTTTTCCCCATCTTCAGGGGATGACCTGTGTGCTATTTTTCGTTTCCTTTTACAAAAAATAACTTGGTATGATGACCCACAGCCGACAGTTAAATGTTGAGAGGCGTTTAACTATCAAATTTTAACTTAAGAACCATAAAGTTTTGATGCAATCTTTATTTTTGGCATTTATCACGAATAATTTTTCAACGGCGTTTCTGTAATCAATGTCCTCTTCTTTATTTTAAGAATTATTTCGGTTTTGACTGGAAGATGTTCAAGATTTAGCAGAAAACTCGTCAGACATGGTACCGAGTAGCTATTGAACATGACAGCAATTTACATTAAACAGCCCAATACAAGATCAATAATAAATAATTAAAATTTAAATTAAAAAAATGAATTCGATAAGCTATCGCAGGATTTGTTGGGAAAGATTTCAAAAAAACAGCTCGAAATTTGGCGTCGGTAATTCAGAGAGAAAAGAAAATTTCAAAGAGTTCCTTAAATGGAGGAAATCGATTTTTGTTCCGTCTTGCTGTGCGTAGTGATAACGCAGGCGCCGTTCTGGAATGGACGCCGAATGAAGAACTGGCCATCGCCCGCCTGTGTCTTATCACTGTATCACAGTATCGCACTTGAGAATATCATGCCCGAGACTGGCGGCCACGGTCCGACCATGTACCCGCGAACTCTTTACTCACGATAACCCGAAACGACCGTCTTATGAGTAAAAGTAAGTTTGAAAATTAGAAGGGTGCTGCGTCAGGCGTAGCTATGTGGCCGGTTTACCTTTGGCCAGCATTATCTTCACTTGTCTGAGTTATCTTCTCGTAAGCGTTCAACACGACATGCCGCACATGATAAGGCAGAGGAATAATCCAAACTCCCCCAACATCAGGAAGAATGGACCAAAGTGGAAACACCTACAAAACAGGTATCAGCGCATTACTTTCAAACATTATGAAAAAAAAATATATCTAGTGAAAACAATCCTTAAACCCCACAAACATGTTTTTTTTTTATGCAATCTGCTCATATCACTGACAGATACACGACGTGCCTCAAGACATAGAGAGGTACGCCTTTCTGTTTCATCATTATCTTTCGACTATCTAATCACATGATCTCTATTCTGTGCTCTCTCAGTAGTCACTAGGTACTGTAATTCTTTTTGTGCATGTGATTTCTCTCTAAGACCTGAATTAAATTATTCATAAAATATTGTAAGCTTAATAGGCCTCTAATGTTTTAGTTTTTTATGTGCAAAACTTTATTCCATACAACTTATTATGCAACAAACAAATGTGTATATTGTACTGTTTAAAAAAATTATATAACAACAATAAATAAATAATAACAAACTTTACATAATATATAATGTCGCTGGATTTATAAAAGGAGAAAATCAATATATTCCTGAAAATATTAATTTATTTACAGAATTAGTTTTACAATATACAATATTATGCTTATATTGCTTACATACAAAACATTGAAAATTAATCAATTTTATAAGTCACTAGTGAACAGTGTAGATGAAGATTCACTATATTTTTCGTTCTTCTCGTGTAGAAATGTGTGGTGATTAGTGACCATTAATCGATATTTGTTTAGAAATCGTGAGATGCCGTCTGGTGTGATGTAGGTTTCAGAAAAACATTTTCTTTATTGTGCCAACGTTTTGATCTTTATTGAGATCATCTTCAGGGCCTGGGATTTACAAACATTGTTTACATATAACAATTACATTTTGGATGTGGAAAAGTGAATTTATACAATGCAAAATATATTTTTTTATATATTCAATCAAAGTATTTCTACTCACTCAAAGTGTTTGTCACAATTACACAGAAGACAAACACTTTGAGTGAGTAGAAATGCTTTGATTGAATATATAAAAAAATATATTTTGCATTGTATAAATTCTCTTTTCCACATCCAAAATGTAATTGTTATATGTAAACAATGTTTGTAAATCCCAGGCCCTGAAGATGATCTCAATAAAGATCGAAACGTTGGCACGATAAAGAAACTGTTTTTCTGAAACCTACATCACACCTTACCGCATCTCACGATTTCTAAATAAAAATTCACTATATTATTAATTCTGTCTGATAATGTTCATACTTCATATTGTTTGTCACTGCCTCCGTGACGTAGTCTCAAGCGTAGCAATCATGACAGGACATTGTTACATTAATAACTCCATTTCGTACGCATTCCTTTTCAAATTCTTGCAACCACGACTCCACATTCTGACTTCCACCACTAAATTCATCTTGAACAAATGCGCTTTCTACTTTTGACAATGACAGTGCCATTTGTTCAATATCATTCTGATGTATGTGAATATAATTCTTTAAATACAAAGATTTTATCAACTACATTTTTGCTATATCTGCTGGTAGAGTTGCTGCGATATTTCTGTATTGATTTTCTTTGGTTATGTTTTTACAGGCATTTTTGACGGTCCCCATGGTGGGACTCACGTTGCTACATGAAGAGAAAACCATACATAGAATCCTCATCTACTAATTTAATCGATTTTACCTGTATTGGTAGATTCCCATATTCATCCTTCTCCATTTTAAGGTGAACTCTCTCTTTTAGGGTAGGCATCTTTGAAATTAAAATCAATTTATAATATCGGTGGATTTATAAAAGGAAAAAATCAATGTATTCCTTAAAATGTTGATTTATTTGCAGAATTAGTTTTGCAATATGCAATATTATGCATATATTGCTTATACAAAACATACCTGAAAATGAATCGATTTTATATGTACTTATTTATTACTTTATTTACACTTTTCACTATTTGATATTATTAATTCTGTGTTATAATGTTCATACTTCATATCATTGCCTGATGCTAACTTCACAATATCGGATACTTGGCCACTACAATCGTGCATAGTCTCATGCATAGCGATCATGACAACGCTTACTAATATATGTACATACATACACATATACCTATACCACTATATAGTACACTACTCGGTTGTGACAGAGATAACACTTAATAAGTGTTTTTTTGCTATTACAAGGCGACTGACAGGATATTGTGCAGCATGGTGTCATTCACACAATTCATACTGTATCGAGCAGATCATTCTGTCTGACTCTTGTTTTCATACGCCTTCTTTGAAACTTTCAAAAATGGATAGAAGTGACATTTTTTATAACAACAAACAAATTTCATTAGTTCAAACATAACCCACGACAACAGTGACTACAATTATGCACGCAAAGTTAAAAACTGAAATGCAAGGGGGTGAATCCATTACTCTGGTTTTGCTTCTTTTTCGTCTAATTAAACGCCGAAGGGCTACAGCTTCTAACTCGTCCATTATAAAAATATGACATGATCAAACATCTAAGTCTTTAAACTGTTTGCAAAAGGATCAAGAAGAGATGGAGGGAAGGCGACTGAATCTAGTCACCAGGGATACTTTTTGTATCTCATACCGATCGCCTCTGTGTGAACCTATGGGTTTTATTTTTCATCGATTATTAAAGGAATGGGATGTGGTTAGAGTTAAGGGAAAGCAGTGGCCAAGTGGTTAGAACATCCGACTCGTACTTGCCATGCTAGCAGTTCTGGGTTTGAATCGTGGCACAGCTCATGGCTTTTTAATTGAGAAAAGTATGAAAGAAGTATTGTAAAGCGGTTTGACTCTGCATCTGCGACAGTCAATGCATAGTTGGATATTAAGCCCTCCTAAAGCCATTTTGTCTTCAAAAAAAGCCAATTACTTTACTTTTTTTTCGGAGAGTTAGTCATTTTGTAATCTGAATAATCTTATAAATAATGACAATTAATTAAGGTTTTTAGTTGAGGTGAAAAAAAGTCAATGGCACGAGCGGGATTCGAACCCACAATCTTCGGCTAGATACGCCGCTGCTCTACCACTTGAGCTATCGTGACCTCGATCCACTCGGACATCAACTCCCCATCTCAACCCCACCTTATGAGTTTGAGATGGGGAGTTGATGTCCGAGTGGATCGAGGTCACGATAGCTCAAGTGGTAGAGCAGCGGCGTATCTAGCTGAAGGTGGTTCGAATCCCTCTCGTGCCATTAACTTTTTTTCATCTCAACTAAAAACCTTAATTAATTGTCATGTATTAATTGGTCGAGCGGACCACGAAAGTAGTGAATTAACTTATAAATAATTCTCTAATTACACAACTTCAAATAAAATTTATTTTCTTCGTTGAGAATACGAAAAAGGCTGCTTCAGATACTCAGATCAGTACTCACAACGAGTATTTTACTTTTCTCAACCACAAATGAGATATTTTGAATTTTAACATCCAACCATAAAAACTCAATTGTTTCAGAAGTGAAGCGGTTAATCCAAGCAATGCAATTGAGTATGGACTTAGTTTTCCCACTGGTTACACAGCTTTCAAGGTCCTCCTCTCAGCTAGGATCGTCGCTGCTATCTGGAGCCACATCACAGATTGTGATGAGACTTTCAATTACTGGGAACCCGTGAGTACTTTAACAAAATATTGAATCCATGTATAGCCAGTCACTACCAAAATTCAATATTCAAAATTTAACAGACGACAAACTGTTGTTTTAGATTGAGTCTTTTAAAATACATCAAAAATATGATTGCCTTTGACTTTAAACTATGTTCATTTACTTTGAAATTGTCACCCTCTTAACCTTATCAATTATTTAAATTTATTTTTTCCAAACTATTAAATTATTATAATTCCTCCCCCCCCCCCCAATGAAAGGTCATAAAACTATAATCTATTACCTTTCTTTTATATGTATTTTTTGTGGTTTAAATTAAAGGCATACATACAGAAAATAATTTGCTGATAGAGTTTTGTTTTCTTGTACCAGGGTCATTATCTCTTATATGGGAAAGGGTTGCAGACTTGGGAGTACAGTCCGAAGTATGCACTCAGGTCGTACACATACCTGCTGTTCCAGCTCGTCCCTGCACTGATTTACAATGCGATTCTCAGGCCAGAGAGACTTTTGCTTTTCTATTTCCAAAGGTGCCTCCTCGCAGTCGCCTGCTCAGTTTGCGAAGTCTATTTCTACAAGTCTGTACCAATTTAAATGCGACAATTTTATTATTGTAAATTTATTATTGTTATTTTTTTTTTTTTTCTATTAGGAGTATATGCAGGGAATTCGGCATACACGTGGGTAGGATGACGCTGATATTTCAACTGTTCAGTGCAGGAATGTACATCTCCTCTACAGCATTTTTACCCTCATCATTCTCCATGTCTGAATCGTAATTTATTTTGTGAAATTATTTATTTATTAAACGTTTTTAAACGCTTAGGTATATGACGATGCTTTCTATTGGAGCTTGGTATCACAGAAAATATGAATTGGCAGTATTCTTAACTGCAATATCATCCTTCCTCAGTTGGCCTTTTGCAGCATTGATAGGGTAAAATTTTAGTAATAATAATAATTATTATTTTAATGTTTATGATTTTGCTTTGTGAGGGTTAATTTGGCTTAATTTTCTGGTAATTACTTTTTTCTAGCATAAATATTTACAACAAATTATATTTATTTTGTCTTTTTAATTTGTTGACAACCATTTTCTTTTCAACTCTATTTTGATTTTAGTGTTCCAATTGCATATGACATGGTTTTTATGAGGAAAGAAATTGGAAAATTCACTAAATGGTGCTTGATATCTTGCTTCATTATTCTGGTAGTTGCGTCCCATTTGTATATTTAAATTGCATAGTTACATTTCATTATTTCCATTTTCAGCTTCCTATGATTAAAATAGACTCGATGTATTATGGAAAATGGGTGATAGCACCATTGAACATCGTCTTGTACAATGTTTTTAGTTCACATGGGCCAGACCTTTACGGCACCGAGCCGTGGTATTTTTATCTTTTAAACGGTTTTCTCAATTTCAACTTTGTTTTCTTGTCAGCTCTTCTGACACCAATTGCTTTGGTATGACAGCTATTTTATCCATTCTGTTTGTTGTATTAAAAAATAATAATAATAATAATAATTTTCTAGTGGACTGTAAGTAAAATTGTATCGGTCAATGCTAGAAATCCAGCGTGTCTTCCGTATTCTCTCTCCCTCCTACCACTTTATTTGTGGTTGGGTGTGTTCATGTTGCAATCCCACAAGGTATGTAGAAAAAAGGTAATTTAAAATTTAAAAAAATACATATTTGTTTATTTTTACTTAGGAAGAGAGGTTTTTGTTTCCGGTCTACCCGATGATTTGTCTATGCGGAGCGTTGACAGTAGACGCGATTCAAAAAATTTACTTTAGACTTTTTGTGAGAACTGGGCAGCATTATTTACACCACACTTCACACATCGTATTCCCCGCTGTTTTTATTACATCTCTTCTTGGCGTCACTCGGATCCTCGCCCTATACAAAGGTAATTTAGTGCTAAAAACTTTTCAAAGCTTATTTTATTGATTTCGTAATTCCAGGTTATCATGCCCCAATGGATACGTATATGGAATTGAACAAAATGTCGGCTGAAGGGAATCTGCCGACGCTAAATTACTTTAACATATGTGTTGGGAAGGAATGGTACAGATTCCCCACATCATTCTTCCTACCAAATGACAGGTTGATAAATGTCAAGATTTTTAAATTAAACAGTAATTAATTTTTTCCCCACCAAAGATGGACTTTGCAGTTTTTGAAATCAGAGTTCAGCGGTCAGTTACCAAAATACTATAGTCAGACTGATGGGACCTCGGTAATACCTGATTACATGAATAATGAAAATAAAGAAGAAATCACTCGATATGTGAGTTGTAATATGTTGTTTAATTGGCTTCAGATAATTTTTTTCTGTTCACCTCCCCCCAGGGTAATTTGACTTCCTGCCACTTTTTGGTAGACTTGGACATAGGCCAGTCAACTGATTATGAGCCAAACTATTCTTCTCAAGTTGAAAAATGGGTCATCGTCAAAAGCATTCCATTCTTAAATAACATCAAGTAAGCTTTCATATAATAAATTTATGTAACTTGTAATCTTTCATTGCAACCCATTTCCAGAACTAGCAAATGGGTCAAAGCATTTTACATACCGTACATTTGGGAGAGGAATGCTGTTTACGGAACGTATAATTTACTTCAGGCCCGAAAGATGAGAGTTCAGCCTTCAAAATATTAAGAAAATGTACTTAATAAAAGTGTGTATAAATAAATAACTGTGTATTTTTCATTTAATTATATGTTCTAATCAGTATGATACTAGTAATTTTCTTATTACATTAACATTATTCCTAATGTTTAAACTTGAACAAAATCGTTGGTTCTCTTTTTCCAAATAAATCCAAGTTTATTCCTAATTTAATAACTTAGCTTTTTGATACCTTTTCCCTTCTCAAAAAAAAAAAAAAAAAGGCAAATGTGTATTATGTAATTATTAATGCATAAGTCAAACAATAATGTTTTATAGAAAAATTGGTTGCTGTTTCAGACTTAACTAGGCGATAAACGATGAACTAAATATGTGACTTAAGGGCTAGTTACTAAGCTCTGTTGTAAATTAATTACAAAAACTAATACTGTATAAATTTGTATATTTAATTTTATTTATTATTAATAATCATTCCAATATAAAATATATATTACAACTGGAGATTGGGATTATGGTATTGAACGTATTTCAGGAGGGCTTCACTGTCCTCACAAACGAAGGGTTTCCTGTGATGACAGGCAACATCATGCCAATGAGTTCCATCACCGTAGAAATTGTTGAGGAGGGCCAAACAGTTTTCAGGCGCTCCGTTCTGGAGTTCCTCCCTGTTATCAGGCTGAGGTTTCTTTAAACTAGAAAGATGATGGATCAGTTAACTTATTAAACTGTCTGTTAAGCGTAATTCTTACCCGCCGGATTCACTCCAGTCATTCTGAGATCTGTCAGTGGTGGGAGGGAGCTTCTGCAAATCGGAAGTCCAGAACCATCCGTTCACGCGGTTCGGCTGTAAGTCTTCTCTGTCACAACCCTTGAAGTCACAGACTCTACCAGACGTCCAGATATATTTGATTTTATCTAAAATTTATAATAAATGTATAGAAGTATTGTTTCAACAGGATAATGTTATTGTATTTCACCTTGTCTTAGGTGATCCTTAATGTATTCATTCTCAGAAGATGTCTGGAGCGACACAGAGTCCATACAACGTTGCCTGCACCAATTTCTTACACCAAGCCAATCCTCTTCCTGGCCAGCAGTGGCAGGGTCCTTCCACGAAAAGAAATATCCCTTTCCATCATGTGTTTCATGAACTTTTCCTATGTATCAGAAAAATGTTCATATTTAAATATACTCATATTAAAATAATTTGCAAGCATACATAGCTATATATTTATAATGTAATTATAATTGTACGTGTAAGTTTTAGTTTCATTCTGGGTTGTTTTCTTCAAAAATTCTATTTGCTTATCAAATTGACAATCAACATTTATGATAATTACAAATAAATTAAAATCTCCAAAGTATGAGCATGTGCAGGATCTTCAGATCTAACTACTTTAATTAAAAAAATTTATTAATGATTCATTATTTAATATTTGAAACAATTTTTATCAATGAATAATTTAAAAAAATAGCTGCATTCAACACATTTGCCTGGCAAAATAGATGTAAACAAATTTCATTTGTCTAGGAGTTGAAAATTGTTATAAATATTCTAGAAATAAGTAAAAACTTTATAAGGTTTAGCAAAGGTTGACTTCATTTTGGAAATGTTATAAATTCATTGAGAAAAAGTTCAATTAATACCAAAATCAAAAGGTTGAATTAGACTTGATAAAGGTATACACTTCTAATAATCTAAAGATGATTTTTTGGCTATTTTGTATCCCCGTTTAAAATGACGAATTTGAAATAGAAAGTTTAGTAAAAATAAAAAGTTTAAATTAAATTAGAGAAGTGTGAAAGGCTCGGAGAAAGTACATCAATTTGATTTTGAAAAGTTCATTTGGGTTTGCAAACATTCAATTTGATTTGTCAAAGTTCAAATCAGTTTGGAAAAAATTCAGTTTGCTTTAAAAAATGTTTGGTTCAGAAAAAGTTAATTTTGTAACAGTTAGTAAAAAGATCAAGTAGATTTGGAAAAATTATAATCCATTGTGAGAATATAAAAAGTTAATTTAATTGAGAAAAAGTTCAATTTGATTTGGAAAAGTTCACTTTGATTTGGAAAAAGTTCAGTTTCATTTTGTAAAAGTTCCATTGGTTTAGAAAAACTTTGATTTGGAAAAAGTTCAATTTATTTTTGAAAAAGTTCACTTGGTTTTGAAAAAGTTTAATTTCATTTGGAAAAAGTTTAATTTCGTTTGGAAAAAGTTCAATTTAATATAGAAAATGTTCACTTTGCGTTGGAAAAACAATTTAGCTCGGAAAAAGTTCAATTTGTCGAGAAAAAGTTCAATTTCATTCTGAAAAAGTTCAGTTGGAAAAGTTCAATTTGATATTTAAAAAAGTTCAAATTGTTTGGGAAAAGTTGCGTTTAGCGTATAAAACGTAAAAAAGTGCAGGTTTAGGTTCAATGTTGGTTGGAAAAAGTTCAATTTGGTTTTAAAAAAGTATAAACTGATTGGAAAAAGTTCAATTTCATTTTGAAAACGTTCGGTTCGTTTGAAAAAATTCAATTTGATTTTTAAAAAAGTTCAAATTGATTGTAAAAAATTGAATTTATCTTGTAAAAAGTTCAATATCATTTGGAAAAAGTTCAGTTTAGCATGTAGAACGATAACTGCCCGAATAAAGTTCAATTTGATTCGGAAAAATGCTGATTTAGAAAAAGTTCAATCTTGGTTGGAAAAAGTTCAATCTTGGTTGGAAAAAGTTCAATTTGGTTTTAAAATAATTCTATTTCACTAGGAAAAAGGTTTGGAAAAAAGTTATTTCTAAAACCACGCCAATATGTGTTAAATCCGAGTTGAAAAGGGTGAAAAGCTCACTTTGTGCACAAAGTGCTGGCACTGGTGGTTCAAGTCTCCTTCCGTTTGGGAACTGAGCGGCAACGGCACCGATGAACACTGCGATCAACGCAATCCTGATCATGCTGACCTGCACAGGAAAACCGAATAAAACAGAAGCGATAATTTTTTTTTTTTTTGACCATGAGCTTACCTCTTCTAGGCGGGACAATACTGAAGGGCCGAGGAAATCCGTCCTCGTATTTATACGCCCTAATTCCAATACAGGGGAATCGTTTTGTTTCACTTCTATTTTGGAATTTTCATTTCATCACAACCTTGGAGAAAGTCGTGGTATGTGATCAATTCAAAAACGGAAACTCCCAATCCGCGGACAACATCGAAAGTGAAAATCGTCCGAACGATTTATGATAATTACGACTAAAATATCGTTTTGGGCCTTCAGTAATTTGTGTTATTTACTTCCGCATAACGTGAAGCAGTAGCACATCTTTCGCGAAAATACGTATGAGTAAAACGTCTATCCTATATGTTCAACAGTTACAAGAAAAGGTTGACTCTTCTTCAAAATGGTGTTTCTCCCTAAATATCTAAATACAATTTATAAATTTTGGAAACGTTAACCGCGTTTTGTTAGTAAACTATAAAAAATTCCATTATGAATCAACAAGGTTGTGCTAGCTGTTGTGAGCGTGTTTCGGAAGTTTGGATTCAAAATTTACGAGTGTTGCCTTCACCATTCTTCTGCTTACTTTTATGCGTTTTCCTTAAAAATTCTTACGTCAGTCGAATAAAGTCTGCAATTTGGAAAAAGTTAAGTTCAATGCAGATAGAAAAGAATTAAATTTAGCTTGACAAAAATTGAATTTGATTTCCGAAATGTTCAATACAGCTAGGAAAAAGTACAAATTCGTTTGGGAAAGGTATAATGCGGTTTGAGAAAAGTTAAATTTGTTTTCGGAAAAATTTTTGTTTCAAATTAGAAAAAGTTCAGTTTGATATGGAAAAGGTTCCGTTCAGTTGGAAAAAAGTTCAATTTACATTGGCTCAAATTGAAGAGGTTTTAAAAAAGTTCAAGTACGTTTGGACAAGGTATAATTCGGTTTGAGAATAGTCAAATTTGGTTTTGGAAAAACTTCAGTTCGAATTAGACAAAGTTCAATTCGATTTGGAAAAAGTTGTAGTTGAGAAAAACTTCGATTTAATTTGGAAAAAATTCTAGTTAAGAAAAATTTCGATTTGATTTCGAAAAAGTTCCGTTCAGTTGGAAAAAAGTTCAATTTACATTGGCAAAAATTGAAGTGGTTTTTGGAAAAGTTCAGTACAGGCCAGGAAAAAGTTCAATTTCGATTGACAAAAATTGGATTTGATTTTGGAAAATTTCAGTACAGCTAAGAAAAATTTCACAGAGATTTGGAAAATGTACTCTGTAGTTTGACAATAGTTAATTTGATCACATTTTCTGTTAATCAGACAAAACAGTTCATCATCGTAAAAAAAAATCTTTCAACATTTCATAGATGATTTTGTAAGAATGGTCTAAACAATTTTGTACAAATTGGTTGAAAAATTGTTTAAAAATAACTATTTCTTCACCACCTAATCCATGGTTTAAAGCTAAATTTCCTCACATTATTTCGTCATGCAGTTGGTCTTGTCAGCAACGAGATTCAATCGTGTTTACCACAGGTAAAAGTGTTGGCATATTTAAAAATATCACACAAATTATTTTTTGAAAATTTCATAGATTAGTTTTATCATTCTAATTATTATTGCATTTAATTTGCTACTGCATAAATTGTGAGGAAATCTTATTCTTCAAACTGGAGTGAAATATTCCAAAGTACGATTTCCTAGATATCCAGAAAAAACATACTATGAAAGCAGAATGTTGATTATTGCTGGTGTTATACAAGCAAAATTAAATGATGTCAATAAAAAATTATGTAAAAAAATGGTCAAAGAGGGAAACGGCATTATTTACAAAGCGTAAATAAAATGATGGTGGCACTGATGATGGAGTTTCATGTGTGGGGTAGGCTTAAGTAAGAAGTGTACAGAGTATGCATTGAGGACAGAAACCACCTGATTGTAATTATTCGGGAATCATGTGAAGAGATGAAAGCCACCGATGAAGAGAATCAAAGGGCTACATCAACGGTGCTGACCAACACCTGGTGTGTTTTGCAAGGAGGCCAGTTCCAACAACTTTTATCATTAAAAAAAAATCTAATATTCATCTTTATTGTAATTTGTATTGTTTTTTAACAGTTTTTGTGGTCTTAATAAGATACTTGTCAATGTAGAAAGTGCATTAGCCTTAGGCAATTTAATGCTGATTCCAAAAATGCAGTCAAATGTTGAAAAAAAAAGTGTAAAAGTAGAGAAAATTGGGCTCTTATTATAAAAAACGTGATTTTCTCAACAAAAATAAATTAAATAAAATGGCATATGTCTGGATCAGGTTGAGCTAAAAATGTGTGGTTGGTGGATTTAACAACATTTTTGGTTTAGTTTCACCACCATGAGTGTACTCTTCTACTTGCAATACAACCTGTATTGAACTGTATTTCTCTGAGTTTAGCCCTTTCTAACTGAAGCAATGAATTTTGGTGAGGGTTCTTTTAGCTTAGGGTTAGTGAGCCTAGAACTTATAAAGTTTATCCATTCCCCCTTTGGTCTTTTTTTGGTTCCATTTTGTGAAGAAGGATTTAGTGTTTGTTTTGGTTCATGGCCCCAAGAATAGGGGGATATATATGATTTTGCATATCCTCTTCTGGCCAGTGGCTGCGTTTTCATTACCCAAAATTCCCTTATGTCCTGGAACTCAAGATATCATCAGGTTTTAGAGATTTTAGATGTATTCACTGACTAATTTGTGATTTTTTTATATGCTAATGTTTTAATAACTGCTTTGCTATCCAATCTTAATAGAATTTTTTTTGACAGTGCAACCTCTACATTTTCTGAAGATTTTCTAAGTCACAAGCGTTGTTGGCATGTTTTTCTCACATAGTAGGAAATCGTTTTGACCCTTCTCTTTATGATTTCTATTTTTTTAAGTCAAGATCAAAATTTGTGCAGTGCACATACGAACCTCAGGAGGTGAAGCGAAGTCAGGCGCCTCACTTCGAACAATGACGTCGGTTTATTGCTTGACGTGCTGCTATCTCGAGACCATGGACGAACTTCCATTTTCGACACATTAACTTTGTTGTGTTTCCATTTTTATGTTTTGAGCGTTATCTCACATCTAAAATAAATAAACGCTTTTTTTCGGTCACCTTCGGAGGCGATTTACGCAGCGGGGAACTTTCCGCGTTTTTATTTGAAACCCGTTCCGTCTCACTTAATAGGAGGGAAAAAATAGTGAAGTCTTATGTTTACATCCGCCATGGACGACGACTTTGCATGTTTAGTCGTGGATTTCATCTGTGTTGGTGCCTACTTCGTTTCGCGGTGGAGGTCGTTTTGAACAAGCGAGACCCTACGACGACATGGACGGGATGGAGTTGTGCCGACTCTGCGCCCTCGAGAAGGATTACCTTTTGTGCATTTACGGCGAGGAAGGAAACAGACTGTGCATCGAGGCCAAAATTAAAAAATGCCTCAACATCGAGGTACAACGACTTCAATTTTAAAATTTCACGTAAAAAGTTGTCCGTCATGTCCACCGGAGGGAAACCTCAAGTTGATGCACTGTTCTCAAGGGGTTAATGGGATTTTTGGGTTTTCTGCATTTATCGTGGAAAACATACTAATAAGGATTAAATAATACTAAACATATAACACTGTTTCAACGCATTTTGTTAAATTTTTACATACAGTATGGAATTCACATGTCATACATCATTTTTGTCCCCGGTGTTCGTCCATTTCACGTTTTGATAAATGCGTTTCTCCCACTGATAAAAACGGTTTATAACATAATAAACATGGACATAAGTTAGTAGAGTGCTATAAACTATTCAAATGTCAAATTACTGCAGGGCCAAACTTCAACAAGTTAACTTATAAGTGAAAAACTATTAGCTTCTAAGTTCACATATCTTGTTGATAAATGGAATTGCATCTTCAGTCTATAATTCAAAACTTTAAGATGACAAATGGACCACTGGGCACAACTTCCACAAGTTGTCTTCTGACTAGATGACTGTTCACAAAGTGTTATTTGGGATTCTTAGTTTTTCCTCCTTCTGACTTTGCTTATTGAGTGAAAAACTATTAGCTTCTAATATAAGTTCGCAGAGCTTGTGGATAAATGGAATTACATCTTCAGTTTAGAATTCGAAACTATTCAGATGTCAAATGACTGCTGGGCCAAACTTCAACAAGTTCTCTTGTGGTTATTTATCAGTTTTGTCACAGCGTTGGTTGAAAGTTACTTAGTTTTACTCGTACTGCTTTTTTTTTGCCCGTAGTCACATTGTGGGAACTGGCTAAATAAACGTTGCATCGTTAAATAGTTCAAATAGTCAAATGTTTTTTGACATTTGTGTCTCAAAACATAGTTTGACAATGGTAGTTTCTCTTGTACTTCCTCTGCTTATTGAGGAAAAAAACTATAGGTCCTATAATTGGTTTTTGGAGCTTGTGGATAAATACAATTTTATTTTCAGTATAGAATTCAAAAATATTCATTTGTCAAATGACCTCTGGGCAAATGGTCATGGCAATTAATTGTTAATCTTGGCTTTTGTACTGTCTGTATGGCTTGACATATTGGGCAAAAATGCTGATAAAAATGATTATTAAGCTATTATGCATTAACATATGTAGGCTAATTTTGCATAAATGGGATTTAGCTTTCAATATACAATTTAAAACTAACGTCCAATAACATTTCTGGTGGTTAATACTTCAGCAAATTATCAATGAATCACCGTTATTAAATTAAGCACCCTGAGGTTGTTGCTGGCGGACCACTTGGCCGAGTCTTAATTGACATCAATTGAGCAAAAACTTTCACATTTGATGTTATTTTAAACAAAGATGCCTTGCATTTCAGAAAAGATTCTGAAGATATTAATTATGGAATATTTGTTTCCATTTAATCTGGGTTCATTAAAATTTGTTCAATGCGAAACATATCATGAGAGGACTAAAAACTAGATTGAACACTCAAAAAGATGACAAATTTAGTTAAAACTAAAAAAATTGAAATAAGTAAATTTATTTAGAAGTGTTTAATGGTCTTGAATCGGAAATCATTTGAAAATGCTGCCAACCTATGTTACAAATTAATATAATGAGTATTAATAATAATCAAACATAATTCTAATTATAACATTAATTTTTTAAGATATAGTTTAAATCATAAATCTTCATTTCATTTAGTGACACACATTTAGTTACATTTGCATAAGTTTGTCAGTTTTATGATAAGTAATTCTAGGAATTTCATTGTTAGGAACATTTATTTATTTTTTAATACAAGTTAAATTAGATTGTAAATAAAAAATTTTGCTTGCTTATAGAGCTTAGGCAAGTTTATCCATTTTCTATCGTCCTGGTTTACTTATTCTTACTGTTTTGGCATTTTGCCATTTACATTATAGTAACAGTACGCAAATTTTTATAAATGAATATGTGAAAATATACATACATGAACCAGGATGAACGGAAACGGACAAATGACAATTTTAGGAAGTATTGTTTTTACCTATAAAATATGGAGTTTTTTTGTTTTCTGTGGTCAGAACATGGAACAAAACAACCAGTTTTTTGTACAAGTATATATTTTGGGACTCTCATGTCCTCTCATCGGCGACAACTAAAAATTAATATTTCAAATGTAAAATTAGTTACATTAAAATGAGAATGTTGAGACATATGAATTGGTTGTTAACCGTTCCCGAGCCTTGAAGGATGTGCTTAAACCTGACTACAGATTACAATGAACAAAACGAGATAAATCTTTAATTTTTTTTTAAAGATGGTGTACAAATTTATTTTAGCTAGCTGACAGGGAGAACCTTCCAAAATCCATCTGTTTAGAATGTTGTACAAAGCTAGATGCATTTGATGAGTTTCTCGACAGCACTTTATCAGCACAAACAACACTTAACATTATTTTTCCAGAAAAGTCAAAATTTAAGAATGAACTTCCTATATCTACAACCAACAATGTTATAGAGGTGTGTTACATAGTACAAATTGGCTCACCTTAATGGTATTATTATTTTTTCATTTTTTGTTCCTTAGAGAGTAATGAAAAATCATGAATCAGAAGAAGAATTTGATGATGAGTCTGAAGAAATACCCTTCACAATTGATTCTTCAAACAGCGATGTTTTGTTGAAAGTACAGGACGCCCAATTCATCGTCCAAAAGCAAGACGGGAATCAAATTAGCAATCGTAAGTTGATGTTTTTTTAATAATATTGTATAAAAATTTTATGCGATGTAATATATTGTTTTTAAAGTAGCCAATAGTGAAATAACGCCAAGTGAAGAATCCAGTAGCTACAAATGTGAAACTAATGAAACCAGCAGCGATCCGGATTCAGATAACGGAAAAGCAAAGGATTGGGAACCTCAAAATTGGCTGTGTTCAGATTGTTCAGAGGTGGGTGTTTTATATTTTATAATGCAGAGTGAACAGAGTGAATCTAAACCCAGATGGCAAGGGTCACGAGCGGGATTTGAACCCATAACCTTGGTTAAATACAGGGTTCAAATCCTACTTGTGACACTTCCCCTTTCATCTCAACCAAGGCCTTAGATTAAAAGTACAATTAATTGAAATAATTAATACAGTCAATTATGACTACTAAATATATATGTCGGTTATTATTACATTGAAGCAAAAATATGGAAAGGAAAGGAGCATGTGGATCCATCCCATATTATCAGAGTTTGAAGAGAGGGTTTTTTAATATGTTGTGACCTCAAGGAAGAAGAAGGGAATTTTTAAATTTAAGCCATATCTATAGACTCTTTTACAAGCTTCTTAGCTGTGGAATTTCTCATTTCCCAAACTAATCGCCTTTCTGCAACAGTCTGTACAAGGGTTTCGTATGAATTGTATACATCCTTATACTTAACGAAATTTTATGTAAAAAGAACAATGCTAACATCACTTACCTTACCCAAAGCTTCTCAGACCACCATGTTGTGTGGAAAGAGAGCAAACTACCGTCTGATTACCACTCGTGAACTTAGTTTTTAACTTTCTAAGTTAGTAAAAAAAGTTGATAGTAAAAATAATACTTCCAAGATCACATTATTTAAAAATTAAACAACTCAAATGGAAACTTAAACACACAAAGTGCACTTTTTACCATGATCTAATAAGGTAGATTATAAAATTACTCACCTTTTAGGTTAAAATTATTCTCTCCACATTAAAAACATACTAAAATGAATTTATGAAGAAATATAAGTGTATTGTTATTATAACAAAACTCAATTAAATTTTGAGATTTCTTATTAATGGGGTAATATGATATACCTGGTATAATTTGGTAATTTCTGATCATTTTGGTCTGCATATCTATCAGATCAAAACATTTAGAAAGTGTGACCAAATGACTTGATTCAGAAAGACAGATGCAGATATGCAGACCTAAAAAAGAAATCTACAGAGTTATTTAATAGATACATTGTGTTACCCATCTCAGTTTAATTTTTTAAATTCTAGGAATTTACTTCAGTTGACGATTTACGTTTGCATCATGCCAATGAGCATAAACAAGATCCCCGGTACATGTGTGCTTACTGTTCTAAGCTCTTCCTAGTTTTCAATGGCTTTATTACACACATTAAAAGACATAAAAACGGGTTAAAATACAGGTTTGCAGATCTATTAAATAAAATATTAAATATGTCACATCTATTAAATATGGATATGTTCTAGCTGTGATGATTGTGGAAAAGGGTTTTCTAATAAGAAAGTATTGGAATCACACCGCCTTACACATTCCGATGTCAAACCGTATGTTTGTCAAGAGTGCGGCAAGTGTTTTAGGCAGCAGAGTGCTCTTTATATTCACAGTCGATGTCATTTGCCTGATGCTGTAAAAAATAAATATCCTTGTGACCAATGTAACAAACAGTAAGTTTTAGTTATCATATATTTGTTGAAGTTAAAGTGTAATATTTTATAGTTGGATTAAGTATGTTATTATGAATACTCGTGATATTCAGAATTGATTGAGTAATTATGATATTTCATATCATGTCAGGTCTGAATCTCAAATTCATGAAAGTTGAATTTGGTTTCAGTACAGTCAGAAAAAAGTTGTGTGTTTGAAAAAAGTTCAATTTGGTTTTAGAAAAGTCTAATATAGTTTGATAAGTTTAACTTGGATCGATAAAAGTTCAATTTAAATTGAATTTAGTTTTAGAAAAAGTTCAGTTCAGAGTTTAGCTTGGAGGTAGTTGTCGAATTGTGTTGTTGAAAAGTTCAGTTTATGTTGACAAAAATTAAATTTGACTGTGGAAAAAGTATAATTTCAGTTTAAAAAGAATGTGTGGTGTTTAGTGACTTAGTCAATGATTATTCGGAGATCATGAGATGTGGCCTGGTGTGATGTAAGTTTTTAGAATTGTGAATAATATCGTGACAATCATTCTTGTGTGTCGTGTTGAGAGTGCTCAAGACTGGCACATCTACACGGAAAACAAACACTTTGAGCCCTGAAGATGATCTCAATAAAGATCGAAACGTTGGCACGATAAAGAAAATGCTTTTCTGAAAACCTACATCACACCAGACTGCATCTCATTTAATAAATAATAGTTAAATAATAATAAATAATCATTTAAAAAGAATAGTTAAATTTGGGTTTTGAAAAAGTTAATCAGAAAATGTTGAGAATTAGGTTGGCAAAAGTTGAATTTGATTCTGGAAACAGTAAATGCAGTTTAAGCTCAGTTCAAATTAGAAAACATTCAATTTAATTGGGAAGAAGTTGAATTTGTTTTTGGAAAAAGTATTAAGCAGTTTGAGAATAGTCAAAGTTCAGTTCATTTGGAAAAAGTTTAGTTTAGATTGGGAAAAATTAAATTTGGTTTTGGAAAAGCTCAATACACCTTGGAATAAGTTCAAACAGATTTAGAAAAAGTTTAGTTTGATTTAGAAAAAGTTAAATTGAGATTTGAAAAAGTTTAATTACTTTCGAAAAAGTCAGATCGACTTCAAAAAAGTTGAATTACATTGGAAAAAGTCAGATAGACTTCAAAAAAGTTGAATTACATTTGGAAAAAGTCAGATAGACTTCAAAAAAGTTGAATTAGGTTGGAAAAAGTTTATTTGATTTGGGAAAAAGTTGAATTTGTCTGGAAAAAGTTCAATTTAGTTAGACAAAACTTGAATTTGATTTTGGAAAAAGTTGAATTAGGTTGAAAAAAAAAATCTAATTACATAGGAAACATTTCAGTTTGGATTGGCAAAAGATGAAGTGGGTTAGAAAAAGTTCAATTTCTATCCGCAAAAATTAAATTAAGGTTTTGAAAAGTTAGGTACAGCTAGGAATAATTTCGAGTAGATTTGGAAAAGTTGAATTAGGTTGGAAAAAGTTCAGTTTAGATTGGTAAAAATTGAATTTGGTTTTGGAAAAAATCTAATTTGTTTTGAGATAAGAAAGTTGAGTTGAAAAAAGTTAATTTGGGAGTTGAAAAGTTTAATTAGACTGTGGAAAGTTATATTAAGTTGACATTATTGTTACAGGTTTTCTAGCAAGCCCAATTTGGTGACACACATGAGGATTCATACCGGTGTTCGGAATTTTACGTGTGACCAATGTGGAAAAAGTTTTATTCAAAAAGGAAATCTTGACGCCCACCTTCTGACCCATTCCCATGATAAACCTTTCTCCTGTGAAGTTTGTAATAAAAGGCAAGACACGTCATGTAGTGAATAATGGTCTTAGCTTAACATAACAATTATTTGCAGATTTAAAACAGGGATGCAAGTACGGAAACATCACTCGGTGCACACCGGAGCAAAACCACACCAATGTGATGTATGTGGAAGAACTTTCAGGGAGAAAGGCACGCTGAGGGAACACCACAGGATTCACAGCGGTGCAATGCCGTTTACATGTGAATTTTGTGGAAAGGCATTTAGATTCAAAGGAATACTTACAGTAAGTAAATACCATTTGTGTATAAATGATGATATAATTGAAATATTTTTGTAGACGCACAGAAGGCAGCATACCGGAGAAAGGCCCTATTCCTGTGTAGAATGCCAACACCACTTCACAAACTGGCCAAATTACAACAAGCACATGAAGAGAAGACACGGGATCAACACGAGTCGCTCGGCACGTACTGAGAAACAAATCACACCTCCACCGCCCCCGCCCCCACAACAAATCATCACCGGTACATACCAAGACATCCAAACTCCTGATTTGTACACAAACATTTCTACACAGAACATAAACCAGAACCTTCCTACTTACATGGCTTATAATGTGTACAGTCTCTCTCAGGAGACACCGCTCGATCCGACTTCAACTATAGACATACTTCCAAGATAATCTAATGTTTGCAATAATTGAGGCCATTATGGACAAAATGCCTCTATTTTTGTATAATTTTAATGAATTTTGTTTTAGCCTAGTGCTTGAATTTTACAAATTGACTGTTACAAAGCTTGAGCCCACTCTAAAAGGGTTATCGCCACAACTAAAAAATGTTTTTGTTAAAAACAAATTTTATATTTATGTCTTGATAAAAATTATGTAGCTACATATAGAAAAACCAGGATGGTTTTCAGTAGCTTTTTAGCAACCGTTATGTTAATTAAGTTTTTAAAAAACTACATATATATTTCCTTATGTAAAATGTTTATTATTTTGCCCCACCTAGAAAAAAATTTGGTGGTTTTTAAACATGAATCGTAGAAATAAATTAAAAATTAGTTTCAAGGTTTTCCTGAATATTTCCATAAAAAATTGTTCTTTACCCCATTCCCACCTTAAAAAACCTTGAAATTGAATTTTGTAATCTCGTACACGAATCTAAATACATAAAGGTTTAAATACATTTATATTTTACTGGAAATACATGCTGGTCAGAAAAACAGCACTTTTTTGACGGTTTTATTTGTTCTGTTTCATTCCTAATAACTTAAGAAATTAAAATTGTGCATTGTTTGTTTTTTTTAATTATGTGCCAAATGTTCCTTAAAATCCATATTGTATAATATTTGCAGTAATAGATGATAGCAGCAAAGATAACTGTGTGGAAATACAATTTATTTGTCAAGATTGATAATCGTAAGTTCCCGAACTCACTTTTTTCTAAAAATTTTATTTATTTAATCACATTCCTACAAAACATTTATGTTCAAACAAAAGCAATTTAGACCCATTTATATTTTTCATTTCAATAAATGAAAATTTGAATAAAAAAGAAACAACTGAAAAAGAAAATTAATTTTCTATTATATCCAATTAAAAATTCTATATTATGAATATACTCTAGTTGATAAGCTTTTTTTTAAGTGATTGAATTATTTTCTTATGCTAGTTATTAATACGCATTTTGCCATAACTGGAATTTGTTTTGTAAATAGTATCAGAATCAAACAATAGATGGCCATAAGCACCAACATTCTACCCATAAGTTGGTGCAAATTATATTGAAATGTGATGCCTGCAATGAAAATGGTAAATATAAATGAAGTCTGAAAAAAATGACTTCTTGGGTTGTGTATCAAAATGAAAATATTAGTACATAGCATATAAGGGGCCAGAATTAAAGTTTACAAGTAGGACTGAATAATATGATTATGAACTTGTGCATAGAGCTGCTGGATACATATTTTATGTGATATATGTAAGTAATATAAAATTATTTTAAACTGTGTGTACATTATAAACGTAACTATGTAGCAAGAATGATTTTTTCTTTATATATACATATATAGATTTGAATTTAATTTATTTTCTGCCTTTATTTTTCTGTAATTGAATCATTTTTCAACCCCACCTTATGAGTTTTCCCTCCTTTTGCCATTTTTCAAATGTCGTGTAATCGGTTTGGATTCTCGACGACAATTGAAATGGCGACAGAAAGCTTTAGTGAAGTGTACTTCATTTTTAAATCATTAATTCACTACTTTCGTGGTCTGCTTGAGAGGGTTGAGATGGGGAGTTGATGTCCGAGTGGATCGAGATCACGATAGCTCAGGTGGGAGAGCAGCGACGTATCTAGCCAAAGGTTGTGGGTTTGAATCCCTCTCGTGCCATTAACTTTTTTCATCTCAACTAAAAACCTTAATTAATTGACAATGGAACATAATAATCTTTAATAACTGGCGGTAAACCTTACAGTTGGTATGGTATCTTCCCTGGGATGGTCAAATAAATACATTGTGCAATTTTTCATTGAAGTCGGAGCAAGATGATTAATATTGCAGCTTGGTAATTTCCAATCATTTGCCCTTGTTATTCTAGAAAGACCAATCTATAGTTGCAACAGTATTTATCAAATTGACGACTTTCCGCTTAATGCTTACACTGATGGACGTTTAATTCAGTTATTTCTGATAGTTTTAGCCTTTCACCATTATAAGTAGTAGGAGTTTTCTGTGTAACCAGGTTTCATTTACAAGTACTCTGAAAAAAGCGTCAGTATTCCTTTGATGAACTTTTTTGGCTTGTTCCATGTACATCATGACCTTTTTTCTTTTAATCCAGACGAATTAAAAGTTGTTGATTTTGTGTTCATGGGTTTTTCTTGTTAATATCATATTTGTAAATTTCTATTTTCAAGTCCAATTTTACCTGTGTCATGAGGTACTTTTCTGAATCGTTGAGGGTTTTTGGTAGCATTAGGAGGGGTGAGGTGTGCAGTACTTAAAATGCAATAATAAAATATTAAAAATAGTGGCCACTCATAATTGTACGGTAAAGGTCGCGAGTTTGAAACAAGAGGCTATGCATTCATTTGAACTTGACATGTACCTATAATTTTTTTTTCTTTCTAAAGTACTAACACCCTAAGGGTACATGTTCGGTTCATATAACCTCATAGTTGAAATACCCTTGTTTACAAAAAAATTTACATTTTATTTTTGTTTTACTATTTTTTAAAATCACTGGTATTTTAAGAATTAAATATGTGACTGGGAATAAACCAAAATTATTAGTTCATTAAATTTAACCAAGGAATAAGAGAAAAACAAACTATACAATTACTTTTTGTACTGGCTACGTGCACGTACAAAGCAATATTTTTCTGTAATTGAGGAATAAACAAAGACAGAAAATAAATAAAACAGCATTTTTTAAGAGTAATTATTTATTTTAACGCCATAAATTACTAACATTTTATCTACACAGTTAAAGTGGCTGGCATTTGAGACAAAATAAAACCGGCATTTTTAAACAAACTGATTTTGTCTTTCATTCAGACCTGGCTTAATAAAATTTAAATTTGCAAATAATTACATGCTAAATATCAACCATAGAATATTAAATATACTCCTTAACTTGAAAATAAGAATACGAATGTACAGATCAAAGCAAACAGCTACACAATATTACTAATTTTTTTTTTTTAAATAACACCACAATATGTAAGAAGGGGTGCTATAGTGCCTAGCCTAGTATTTGTATGCTGATAAAAGGAAATCGTAAACTCCAGTGAAAAAAATTAAATCCACTTTTGAATGATGAAATACACCACTGGTTTGTGGTATCATTTGAGATCTGTCCAAAAAACTTTTTTTTAAAGATTAATTTGCTATCTTCTGGAATACTTATATTTAAATAAAAAAACATTTGGAATAGAACAGTTTTTCTATTGCAATTACATCTTAACAGGCCTGATTTCTCATAACTAGATGTTATCTAGGCACTTGGAACGTCACATCAAGTTCAGAAGACAATTTTATAGCACATCAAAAATTTTCACTTTTCACTTAATTTAATATTTTATGAAATTTCGGCTGTCCTAATATTTATTTTTCTTCAGTATTTTTAGTTAATAATCTATTCTTTTTTCATCTAGTTCCAACCCTCAATTATTCTAATTAATGTAATGTATGATAATTTTATTTTAACACGGAACAGAAAATTGTTTTCTTAAAAGATCAATAATACTATAACATGAAAAAGACAAAAGAATAAATATTTCAACCCCAATTTAAATATCTACACTGTTAAGTTCTTCAAGGTAAAAAGAAATTTTATATTAGAGAAAAAGTCAAAATTTCAAAATAGTTAATTTTGAAAATAGAATACACCAATTTTTATATTACATTATTGGATATATTTTATTTGTGAAAAATTATCATCATAGGCCTTCCTTACATTTTTTGTTACAATGATTGAAATTTTTTTACAATTTTTACTTTTTCACCTACCACCAAATGAAATTCCTCAATTACCAGGCTCACGGTCACAGTCTGACTCTATGTTTTCATCCTGAAAAACATTTCAACTGTTTATAACACCTCTAATAAAAAAGATAACAAAGTTAATATTACATCAGATTCACAGCCGGCACAGCCTGGGCATTTTGGACGTTGTAAATACGCATAAAAATTTGGAGGCAATTGTAATGCAAGGGCTTTTTGCCTGAGATCATCGGGGACTTTAAGTTCAAAAACCACTTCGAAATCTACAACACACATACACAAAAGAATGCCCATTTATTAAAAATAAATAAATCAACTTGTATGTTGCATTTTAATAGATTACAAGATCAGATTAGTAAATTTTAGACAGAATTTAAGTAAAATTTATAAATCCATAGTAATTGAAACTTTTTTTGCATCTAAAGAAGGCACTGTATAAAAAATCAACCTATAATTATTAATTATGACAAAAACAGATTAAGTAATTGGTACTTTTCTCGGCCTGCCACATATTTATACAAAATTATAATCGAGTCTGTACTGTTCAATTGATTAGTTAATATCACGCCCGTAACAGAAGATAAATGTTAAATGTATAATGTACAAATAAATTATATTTATATGGGAGGGAGGGGGCATTTGACTCAGGTTTTATACGTCAGTATAAACAGTTTATGTTATTTAGGAAATACATGCTACCCAATTTAGACCACTCAGGCAAAGGAATAAATTTATTTTGGATTAATGGAGAATAATACAAGTTGTATAGAATACAAGCAGTGAAAAAGACATTAATTAATATTTGTGAACCATAGATTGCAAACACAAATAAGACTGATATTATATAGTGCACTTATCTGCCTTAATGTGTTAACAATGCAAGTTTTGATTTAGATCTTTAAATGGTTAAAAATTAAAAAATAGATTATTTAGAAATCGTGAGATGCGGTCTGGTGTAATGTAGGTTTTAGAAAAAAAACCTACATCACACCAGTCCGCATCTCACGATTTCTGAATAATCATCAACTAAAGGTCACTAATCACCACACATTAAAAAAAAGTTTTTTGTAATGTTTTTAATTACTGGTTATGTGCATAAGTTTCTTTTTGTTTGTTTGTTCAAATTTCGACTTAAAGACATTAATACCTCCTTAGCCCTAGGGTGGGAAAAGCCATATTGAAATATATTGTTAAGAAATGGGTAATTAATCCCAAAAGTCAGTCTAGAATAAACTGTAACATGGGGTTGGTGGCCACAACGGTTTACGCATTGACACGGTGTCATCTCTTTGAGGTAAAAGGTCCCAGGTTCGAATCCAGCAACCCTGCATTTGAACCCGACACTTACAAATGGCTTCTACTCCCCACCCCTTCAAAAACACAAGGGTTCAAGTAACCTCATAGTTGAAATACCTTCATTAAAAAATAATAATAAATAAATTGCGATGTTTTTCATATGGAAGAAGATAAAATTCATTTTCAACATTGCTAACTATACAAGTTCAATCTAGAGTGTGCTTGTTGAAATTATGTGACTTTTACAGTGAAACATAGTAAATGAACATGTCAGTCAACAGTAATTCCAAAATTTTTGTAATGGAGAGAGAGGAATCAAAGACCAGCCGTGTGGAAGGCCTAATGAGCTAAAAAGTGACCATTTATTGTCTGTGTTAGAGGATGAGGACAAATTAACTGTACCAGAGCTATTAGAGATATTTCAAATTACATCGCACAATAAAAAGAAAAATTGATAAAAGTGTGTCCTTTCTAAAAATGTTAATGCTGAAGGACCATTTGCAAGAATGAAACGCTGCTGTTGACATCATCAAGAGATCCTCTCGTAAGGTCCTATTGTTTGTTTAGTGGATTATTCAAAGAATAATTTATTGGGATACCAAGCAACACCGTGTTTCACCATGGCAATGCCAGACCTCGTACGGCTGCATTCACTCTGAGTAAAATCGCTAGGCTGGAAATAAATGCCCCATCCACCGTATTCTCCAGGGGTTCAAAGACCAACCCCGCTTCCAAGTAGTGAACCCTGGGAAACGTTCGTCGTCGTCCTGACGGGGGGATCACTGACTGATCCCCACGGCATGGTACGGTGCGAAAAGGCTAAAGGGGCTCTGGTGTCCTATCCCCAAGTGAGGTACTCACTTTCCTAACCACTCCTCACTAAATAGACTCCTATCACCAACCCCTCTCCCTCTATCNGAGCAGGAAGATCAACAGAAACTGCACTGTACGAACTAACCAGTGACCTAAAAGAAACACTGGAAACAAAAGAAATAGCAATCTGCACGTTCCTCGACATTGAGGGAGCTTTCGACAACGCATCTCATGTATCAATGGAAGCCTCCCTGGGGAAAAAACACGTAGACCAAACTACATCTAGGTGGATTGGAGAACTTCTAAGAACTAGAATAGCTGAAACAAATATAGGAATAAACACTATAGAAGTTAGAACAACAAAAGGATGTCCTCAAGGAGTGATATTATCACCTCTCTTATGGAGGCTAACAGTTGATGAACTGCTCGAAACCCTGAACCGCTCAGGAATAAAATGTCAGGGATATGCAGATGACATAGTCCTGACAGCCAGGGGAAAATTCGAGGAAACCCTCTGCGATATAATCCAAGAGGGACTGAAAATCACAGAAGAATGGTGTAAAAGTGCAGACTTGGGGATTAATCCAAACAAAACAACTATAGTCACTTTTACACGGAAAAGAAAGCTAGATCACATGAAAGAAATCAAACTCAACAACACTGTGACAGAAATCAAAAATGAAGTCAAATATCTGGGCATCACACTAGATAAAACACTAAGAGACACACTTACTAACAAACTGCGGAGCTACATTAGCCCGCAGGAGGAAGTGTTTTGGGATGTGCAATGTGACCATAGAAGAACTACAACCACTGAAACCGGGCCTATTAATCAAGTTTCTTGATGAAATAGGACTCACCGATGTGCTTTAGGCAGAGCACAGGGGATCTAATAGCTCTTAAAGGGCGTGGTATACCATACCCTGAAATATTACATCTACATGTACATCTGTATTCTCTAAACTTTGCCAATTCTGATTTTTACTTGTTCCACTCCCTTGACAACCACTTGTAAGGTAGAAATTGTTTGCAACAAAAATGCTCTGAAAATCGGACTACAGATTTTGTCTTGTCTAAGACAACAGACTTTTACAAAAAGGGTATATTTATGATACCAGAATGTTGGCAGTATATTATAGAAAATGAAAGAAATTATGTATTGAATTTAAAATAAAATACATTTATATTTTGAAAGTTTGACTTTTTTTCTGAAAACCAAAAAACTTATGCACACACCCAATGCCTACAGCAATGTAATACCGTTCTAAATTATCACTAGAAAATTTCATATCTGTTAGCTGGTTTTAGACAAGAAAGAAGAAAAAAATATATTCAAAAATATTTATTTAAAAAGTTATTATACCTATGTTTAGTAGCTACAAAGAAATAGAAGGACAAACACAAGGCAATTTTAGTTTTTTCAAGATGTATAGTTGCATAATATTTTCTAATAAAAAGAAATCTAAATGATGTATTTTAATATAAAAATCATTTTACCCAATATACATAATTTAATTTATTTTTATAAATTTGTATACTCCTAGTCTTGGTAATAAGACTATGCACAAAGGCATATTCAAATTACCATTTTTCACATTTCCTGCACATTCAATTTCAAAAATTCTCGAGAAAGTGTCCTTTATTTTTAATATTTACCCTAATAAAAAAATTAAATAAAATAGGAAATAAAAAGTTAGTAAGAAAAAGGAAAAATAAGTGAAGAATAAAGGGTAACCATTTGTTTCTTTGGAAAAAAAGCTTATAATATTCTAAATAAATGTCATGAATTATGTCCTTTTTACAACGTTTTTTGAGACAAGCCTTTCCTCAATTATACTCTATCCATTGCACATTGCCCCGGATTATCTATTTCTATTTAATCACAAAATATCATAAAAGTATAATCAATTATCACATGCACACAAAATGCCAAAAAACGATCACATCGTCTAAGAATAAGAAAGTTTAAAATGTTTATATTTGTCATTACAAAGGAAAAGAAGGAGCATGTTTTTCTTGTTTGCTGTCGGTAGCACAGAATATAGTTCTCGCAATAACGAGATAAAATGGGAAAATGTCAATGTGGTGTTAAGCTTCCAATTTATTCTAAAACATGAATAGGGCAGGTCGAGGTTTTTCCAGATAAACCAGACACAGATGCAAAACGGATAGAAAGGGATGAAAAAGGCTTTCCTACTGACTTTTATTGTAAAAACGTTCGTCGTAATGTCATCTCTTGCAGTGCTGAGCCTGCTGATTATTTTTTTAAAAAACTGTCGCTGTAAAAAGGGCATTTGACTGGTGTTAAACATTTTGTTAAATTGAGAGTAAATAAGGATTTTAAAAAAAGGAAACTGATATCTTAGCACCATACCATGCTCAGCTGCTGATGCGGTTGAATCAGTAGATGTAGCCGACTTCTAAAAAATAAACACAGTTAAATATTGAAAGAAAAAAAGGGGAAAATTATNTATATATATATATATATATGTGTGTGTGTGTGTGTGTGTGTGTGTGTGTGTATGAATGTGTGTGTATATATATTATGTATGAATTTATATTAATGCTAGATCCTTCATAGTTTCCTAAAAGAAATGGAAAATGAAGAGTGGGTTGGGGTGGTCATAAATGAGTTTGTCACCCTGACCAACTCATCGTGCCTATGAAAGAATCTGTCAAATAGGTAAATAATTGATAGCCATCTAGATAATAATTTCTATCCATCAGTTTTTAACAATTTGAGGTTTTGACGTGAATTCGAATAAAGTCTTCTACTTCGTATGGGGAGGTGGGGGTCATCCAAGAAAAATGTAATTTTGACGACTATCTAAAACTAACTCAAAAATTCTATTGATTGAGAAAGAAAGAAAGAAAAGAAAATATAACTATCTTGTCCAAATTGATTAGTCAATAAAGAAATTTCAGTACTACTTCAGGGCGGCCCTCTACATTGGCACAGTCTCGAGATATTATCACAAATATGACCCCAATGGATGTAGATGATCCAGAGGAGTAAAAAAAAAATATATATATTGTGTTCTTAAAGCAATAATGGGGACAATACAAGCCTATCGATGATACAAGCTCACGACATGGGATCGTACACCGCTTCAGATAAATATTAATAATTTTTTTAAAAAGCATCCTCAAAAATGCATTTCAATATAGTTTATGTACCTGCGAGAGGATTTGGCTTCAATGAGATCTTCATTTGACAAACAATAAACATTATGCAGAATTGAGAAATGCATTCGGGATTCTGGAAGATGGAGTGGACAGAATGGCATTAAAATTGTAACATGCCATAAAAGTTTGTGTTCAGACAAGATAGCATATATGTAAAAAAAAAAATCTTTTTATCGAAGAAATTTTTTTTTTAGTTGCCACGATTTTTTATTTTTATTATTCTATATATTTCTTTGAATTCATTATTATTTCTATATGACATTTAGTATCAATTAAATGTCACAACGAAGGAAGCTCTTAAATAAATTTTGTGACAAAGGAGGGGGTTAAAGAAATGTTCTAAGGGGTCCCACCAGACTGTTGAGATTCGAACAAATGGACTTCTTCCCCCCCTCAATAAAATGGTACCCCAGGAGTTCATATGACCTCTGGTGTTGTGAACTCCGGTTTAATACATCAGCTGCATAGGACGCAGCAATCACTTGTCTTCCTGGGTGCAATAGACACACGGTCTGCGTCCTCCTCTTTACAGTTTTAAACCTCTTTTCCTACTTTTCTACGCCTTTTCATTTATATTAACTGGATTAGTACTAAATTATATTATTCAACAAATAAAACATAACACACCTGACATTCCAAAAATATGTCGTGAAATTTAACAGCACTCGATTCATTCGTGAACCTTATGCTAAAGGTCTCTGATGCCAACAGTCCTTCAGAGAAATCACGAGCAGACCACATCCATGATTTTTTGCCCTTGCTTTCCATTTGAATGTCTGGTGTTATGTAATGATTTAAACAAAGCTTCATCACTATTTCTCTTCTCATCAGGATGCTGAAAAAATTCATGTTTTAACCATCAGATAACTTTGTGCTACAGTGTATAAACACTTACCGAGTGGTGTTATTTGTTTTATGTTTTAATATTTTAACATCTCCTACACCCCTTTCCTTCCATTCACCTCCCTTTGTGGCGAAACGGAACAGTTTCGCTCTTTCTGAAAAGAGAACAGTCTCGTCCTCCTCTCCAGTCACAACTTCAATTTTATCTGGCATTTCTATCACTGGCTGTAAAGGACATAACGAGCATGAGACATGTTAAAATCAGTGTTTGGTATAAAGTTTAAACCTGAAATTGAATATGTTCTCCTTCATCTTCGATATCCCCTGAATTATTAGCTGTATCATCATCAGAACCAGCATTTTCTGCTTTTTGGGGACTAGTTAAACTAAAAGTTTTGGAAAACTGAAATTGAGGCGACGAGCCAAAACTGATACCGCTCCCAACTAAAAAAAATAAAAAATATGCATTTATTATTGCATTAAAAATAATTTAGTAAATCAAATAATTACATTTATTTGATGTGTTCAAGAATGAGTTGCCAGCTGGTTTGGTTTCTTCGTTAGTTTTAATAAGAGATCCAAAAGTGACAGGTTCTTGAGTGCCCACACGTGAGAACGTGTTCCCAAAAATATTGCTTTGAACATTTAAACCCTTTTTTTGACTGTCATTAAAAACGAATTTACTTTCTTGGGGCTGCTTCGAATCAGTGACTGAAGCAGTATTATTAAAACCTAAACCCAAAGTAGAAGAAAATTTGTTTGATCCTCCTTGATCAACAGTGAATTTGTCTGGCACAGCAGTAGTAGAACTTGCATCATATCCAAATGAAAATTTGGGTGTATTAGGTTTACAGATGTTAACTTCAACTGTACTACCTAAAAATAAAATAGATTAATAAAATTTGTTATCTATATTTCATAAACGACTACTACCTGTCGAAGTAGTTGTAGCTGGAGGAATGCCAAACTTAAACTTAGTCCCATCAACAGTTGTTTGGGGCTGTGATGTTTTAGGAGCAGCGGGTTTACTTGGGTTTGGCGTTTTGCACACTTTACATTCTGCACAGTCACCTTCAACACGTATATAGCATCCTGGACATTCCCAGGATCCTTCTTTGTGTTTCACTAACATCGAAAGGGGTGCTGCTTCTTTGGCTTCAGCTGGTGTTTTGGAAGGAGTAGAAGCAGACTCTAACTCTGATTGTGCTTTATCAAACACAGCTTTGAATTTTGACTTCTGAAAAATCAATAATTCATTACAAAATATTGTTTTATATTGGTTGCCTGATGATTGCGTAAAATGCAATTTGTGTGTCATGCCAACTGTTCTAGGTGTGGTGGACGGTCAGTGTCCTCCATTTTATACTTTTTAAACTCTCTACTTCACCCGCTACACAATTCCATTCGAAATTCCTAGGGTGGTCTCACAAAGGGCAAAAATTTTACAGCCGTTTCAATTTTTTTAAAACTTGTTTTTTATTCAGCGAAAACCATGAAATTTGCTTTTCTTTTTCTGTACGTCTTTGATTATTTTAATTATTTACCCATTACGTAAAATAAATAATAAATTTTTGTAGAAAGACTAAATGACTTTTATTCAACTACATACACAAATTGAATACACTTTCTATGGGTTGCTTGCTTCATTTTCTTAGTCCTGCAGGGACACAACAGATTCATCATATAATTGATAAACTGAGTTTCGTCGGGGGAAAGCAAAATGGCAAAGTTTAGTACACAGTCAATGTGTTATAGGTTTTTTTAAATTTAAAATTATCCATCCATGACTTCCTCAGTAACAATTAAAGCAAATCTATAAATTTTTTTTTTTTTTAATTATTGTATATTCGATGCAGTTGATTTATATATTTTTTTTTTCTTCTTCCTAATTTTTTTATTCGGGTTTTTCCAAAAAGCACGGTTTGGTTTTTAATTCCTTTTCAAAAGGTTAGTTTATTTCAAAAACAATTATCTTTTTTTATTTATGTTTCAGGCTATTTCTCACCCATTATCAGGAAACCCTAACAAGAAACTCAATTATAATTAACAAAAATTAAAACAGAGAAAAGAACTTGTGATTCTCACTAGATTGCGAATAGGTCATATCAGGCTAATCCATAATAGGCTTTTAATAGGCAACAGGCAACCTTCCAACTTGTCCTCGATGTACGCGAAGTGGAGAACGCACCATTTTGACAGTAAAACATATTTTGGTCGACTGTCCCACTTTACAACCCTTTAGGCAAAGGCTCAACCTTTCGAGTGATTTACAGGAGTTACTGGGTCCCCAGTGTTTCTTTCGAAGAGCACTTTTCAGCTTTCTCAAATTTATTGGAATTTATAATGAGATTTAGGCCTTTTCCCAAATTGTTATATCATTGAATGCCTGCTAATGTTTGAATAAAAGTTGTGCGTGCAAGATTTCTTCTTTCAGAGGTTTTTGAGGCTGCCGGAGCGGAAAAATGAAATGGAAGAAAATACAAATTGCGGGGGAATAAACTGCAATGCCCAAAATCGCAATTTAAATAAGAAAAATAGCTCCCTCCAAAACAAAAAAAAAGAAGATAAAGATAAAGAAATGTTATTGTGTTTTGTTTCTTATTATTGTTATGTAGAATTAGTTTATGTATCATATTTGAATGGAAGAATAAAAGGATAAGGATGAGCCAATACTCATGCTGAGACTGTTGCTAGTCTGACTCCATTATTATTATTATTATTAGCCATACAAGCCTACGGGGAATTTTTAAATTATGGAACAAAATTCACAATTCTAATTAAAAAAAGAAACAGAAATAAATTTTATAAATTTATTAAATTTTATGCAATTTAAAATGGGAATTTTGTATGCATTTGGCCTTCCGAATTAAGAATTTTAAAAAGAAAAATTAAAGCTTGGATGGCAATAGGATAAATAAGATTACGAGTGAATGTTTGGAGTCAGAGCTTTATAGCACTCAGAAGAGGTATAGCTAACCTAACATAGAAGGTTTGGATGTTAGGGCGTGAAATGACCTTAGCCGTTAAAACGCCCTTAAAAATTAATAATAATAATAATAATAGTATAATAATATCATTTACATAGTTTTAGTTTACATTTTTATCTATTATTTTATGGTTCAGAGTTAACAATCTCACTTTCTTTTCCACAGCATTTTCATCCTCTAAAACCTCTAATTGTCTCTCCTCAAAGAATTACCTCCATCCAGGCCGACCGGCCACAGAGGAGTGCGAGTTATACAAGATAAAACCTAAGAAAAAGCGTTAGGTTTTAGTTAACGGATCGTCACTTTTATGAGGTCCGAATGCCTTAAAATGTACGAGACATCACAGCCTTGGGAGGTGACAAGTCCGTCAAATTTACATGTTGAATTTATTTAAAATATTACATTTTTAATCAAGCTGGAATACAATAGCTCTATAAAATTATTTTCTATTTTTCTTGTTCTAAAATTTCTCTCTTATATTCCTTGAGGAGAGACAATTGGAGGTTTTAGAGGTTGAAAATGCTATGAGAAAGAAAGCAAGGTAATTATCATTAAATCTGAACCATAAAATAATAGATAAAAATGTGAACTAAAACTATGTAAATGATATTATTGCTTTAATTTTTGCTAATTATGATTGTGTTTCTTGTTAGTTTTCTGATGATAGGCGAGAAATAGCCTGAAACTTAGAAAAAAAGATAAATGTTTGTAAAATAAAATAACCTTTTGTAAAGAAATCAAAAACCATATTGTGCTTTTTGGAATAAACCCTAATAAAAACTCCATTTAGCAAGAAGAAAAATATATAAAAAATTGTAGCAATTTTTCATACTTGTACAAAATCTACTTGCATGAATACAACTCAATTCATACAATAATTGATGTACTGGATAGTTCAATTCAATGCAACACAGATTATTACTAAGAAATGAGAAAACAAAATATTTGAGAGCAAATGTTAAATACCTGTTCTTCAGTCTTGAATTTGATGGTAAAAACTTCGTTGACCCCAGATGTAATATCTTCGGAGAAATCAGTCGCCATCCATTGGTATCTATTTGGACCTTTGCATGTTAATACAATATCTTTAGTTAGTCTATGGTTGCAACAAACTTTGAATACTTGCTCTCTTCTCATGAGCAACCTAACAACACCGGTATCTTTATCTTTTAGTATTTTCATTTTGCCTACACCCCTTTCCTTCCATTCGTGGTTCTTCAGGTCGAACCGGTATAGTTTAGCTCGTTCTTCAAACAATACTATCTCGTTTTCTTCCCCGCTCACCACTTCAATTTCAGCAGGCATGTCTACTACTGGTTTAAACTCGACAGTGGGAATGTACTCTCCTTGGTCACCGTCATCGGATACTTCATTACCGGTAGATGTATTAAGATTACTACTGCTGAAAAGTTTGTTTCCATCACCTGACGCTTGGAATGTTGAAGTCGATTTTTGAAATCCACCCCATACTTTAGACCCTGCTTCAGGAATTCCTGTCCTCAAGGAACCGGCGAAATTAAAGCCTTTCTCTTGGTTACTTTTTGCCAGAGAACTGAAATCTATAATGTTTTTAGAAAGAGTGTCAAAATCTTTCACATCTTTAGTGAATGCATTTGATCCACTTTCAGATTGATTTTTTTGTGACTGATCGGAGTTTTTATCTGATATAGCTGTTTCAGTACTCTTTTGTTCTAGTTTCTTTGAAAATAAATGATCAAATGTAGTATCAGGCTTTCTAGTAGTGTCATCAGATGGCTTTGACATAAAATTAGATTGAGTATTTTGCTGTTCAGCAAATGGTTTAGATAGAAATGTATTAACAGTGGTTTTTTGTTTCTTCGTATCTATTGCAAAAGGATTTGCACACTCAAATGAGGTGGGTTGATTAGCCGAAAACAAAAATGAAGTTTGAGGGGGTTTGATTTCGCTAAGATTAATCTTTGAAAGTCCAGAAATAGATTTGCTTTCAGCTGGTGATGTACTGCTGAGCGTGGTTTCCGGTTTTTTAATTTCACTGTAGGTAGGAACAACATTAGAAAGAGAAGAACTTTTAAGATTTACAACTGAGAACTGACTCTTAGAAGAACTTGGTTGCTGTGTATTATTATCTTTTACTTCGCTATCAACCCCCTTTGAAGGAGGCGAAGAAAAAAGGCTCTGCTTGAAAGAAAAATTCACAAACGCATTAGATTTCTTTTCTTCTGCTGGTGTAGTTGTCACAGGTTTTTCTTGTTTATCTTGTGATTTAATTGTTGGCGGGGCTGAAAAGATGAATCCTCCAACATTGTGTTTCTCTGGTGTGCTCGATGAAAATGATTCTTCTTTCTTCTCTGAAGATTTTTCTAGACTTTGGGGAAGCTTCAACTTTGGTGGTGTAAAAACAGGTGTGGTCGTTTTTAGTGGAAATTGTGTAGTAAAACTGCTCGGTGAATTAAATGAAGAATTAGTTGACTGAGTAGAAGTCATCAGAGTTGCACTAAATGACTGATCACTTTTTTCTTTGTGCAACGTATTTTTAACTTTGTCAAATACCATTTTAAACTGCTCACTTTCAGCTTTTGTTTTAAATTGTACGCACAATTGTTCCAACTGCATCGGCCCTTTAGTAAAATCTTGAGCACTCCAAATCCATGAATTAGGAGAAGAAACGGTCAGTGTCAAGTCGGCAGTAATAAAATGATTAGCACAGATTTTGTGATCCTTATTCTTTCTCATTAAAATCCTTGCTTTATTTTCAGCCTTCCCCTTCAAAATTTTAATAACTCCTTCTTCTTTCTCTTTACATGAGCCTTCAACAAATCTGCACAAAACTGCATTAGAATTAAAAAGGACTTCCTCATTTGCTTCTTCGGTTGCCAGAGAGATTTGACCAAATGAAGTGACGGGCATTGGGTCATACCGCTGATTTGAGGTATTGACAATTGTTTCATCATCAGATTCCACTTCTGATTGTGCATGTTGGGGATTTACTGCTTGCGCAGAGCTAGTAGGTAATGGTATTTGATAATTATGAACAGATGTGTCGCCTAATCTATGTTGAGGTGGAATAGTGACGCTCAACATCGGTTGAACAGGAGGTATCCCTGTTGGCAATGTATCTGAAGTCGTAATCACCACATTAGTTGGGCCACGGTCACTTGGTTGAGATGCATTGAGGACTGGAAATTTCGGTAATGTTTGTGGAAAAGTAGGGTTTGATTGTACAGATGTTTGGCCTAGACTTAATGTTGTAAGAGGTTGTAAATGACTTCCTGGCAAAGCTGTCAAAGAACTTCCAGCCAAGCCCTGTGTCAAAGAAGCAACAGATGGCACTCCTGGCACACCTACAGGATTCTGAATCGGCTGTTGAAGCTTTTGATTGAGAATCTGAGTTGGAAAAGGACAACCGGGTCTCGTGAAAAATTCCGAAAGGCCTTGTTGTTGCTGATGTTGGTCTGAATATGGTAAAAATCCCATATTATTTTGATACATTTGTTCTGGAGGTCTTTGCCCCATATATGGTGGTGCTGTAACGTTTGTATTAGAATATGCAAAGTGCTGATTATTTTGTACTGGCCTCTGATGTGTTTGATAATACGGTGTTGTTGGATAATTGCACTGAAGCATTTCATCATTATAATCTTCTTCATCCAATACATTGTAAATATCAGATTTTTTCACCTCCTTTTTGATATCAGATAATGAACTTTTCACTTCTGTTTCCAGATTGTTGAATTTAGTCGTGAGTTCAAACATAACAGTCTCAACTCTGTTTAAAACTAGTCTGGTCTGTTCCAAAACTTGTTGCATTTTTAACTGACTGTTGCTTTGTTGAAGGCTAACTAGCTCTACTAAATCTGCACAATTAGGTCTGTGCTTAGTTTCCTAAAACATACAATAAAACAAATATAAGAATAGTTTCTATAATAAAAAGTACTCATGGAGATTTTATTACACTGTTAATTATTACTTACATAACTTCGGCGACTTGGAGTACTTGCATTTATGTTTCTGCTAATATTTTGGAACTTGACTGGAGAATGAACTGTGTCATTAATATGACTCGACTCGCTTAAAAATGAAATATTTCCCAAAGTGTCTTTTTCTACAACTGTAATTATTGTTTAAATCAGACACACATTTATTTATATTTGAAGTCAATTTAAAGGTAAAGAATGTCTTTTTTTTAAGGGACCGCGGTAACCGTTAGCGCACCAGACTCTTAACTAATAAACACCACTGTCATGAGTACAATTCCCATTGTCTCTCCTGGAATTTCTGTCTGAGAAAACAAAATTGGGAGGCTTGAAGAAAAATACATATTGGGAGGCTTGATTAATGTACTAGACACAACACCATTTAAAAAATAAAAGATTTTATCTAACATAAAGAACAAAAATGTGTGGTGTTTAATAATTTATTAATGATTACTTGGAGATCGTGAGATGCGCTCTGGTGTGACGTAGGTTTAGAAAAACATTTTCTTTATAGTGCCAATGTTTCGATTTTTATTGAGACCATCTAAATCCATGTTTAAATTATACAAATACATGTAGGATGTGAAAAAATGAATTTATACAATGATAGAAATTTTAGACTCATTCAAAGTATTTGTGACTCTCAAAGTGACTGTTTTCTGTGTAGATGTGTTTTGTTGAGGGTGCCAGTGAGGTATAGATGTCTTTTGTTTAAATACATTAGATTTTGAAGGGGTGAGGAAGGAAGTAGGGATAGAAATCCATTTTTATATGTGGAGTTGGCTTCTTTGAGGTGAAAGGAGCTGTCAATGGCTCAATAGAAAATAGAGTCTCTTACTAAGTCTATCTCCACTCCCGCATTTTTGAGTTATTCAGTTTTTCACTAGAGATTGCACAATGCCAAAACGCGTTTGAATGACTGAATACGGTAAAAATCCCATATTATTTTGATACGTTTGTTCTGGAGGTCTTTGCCCCATATATGGTGGTGCTGTAACGTTTGTATTGGAATATGCAAAGTGCTGATTATGCAACCCACGAGTAGAGATAGACCCAGTAAGTGACCCTGTGCTGGTTCAACATGAGTTCACAGAACTCGCAGTCCCAAACAGGGGTCAAACCATTTTACAATACATTTTTCATATTATTCTTAATTAAATAACTATGGGTTATGCCAGAATTTGAACCAGGAACCAATAATGTGGTAAACATGGTCCAGACACCCTAACTACTTGGCCACAGCGGTCCCTTTATGAAATAATGCTAATATGGATAAAATTATGAATTCGAGGTACACTTTGTCTGTATGCTTAATCAAACAAGAATATATCTTGCAAGGAATTGCAAGGAAATAAAATTGTTAAAATGAGCTTCCAAATATAACGTAATAAATACATAAAATATCCCTAACTTTATCAAATGCTATATAAATTAATTAACACAACATACCTCCTTCATCAATTTGTGACACGAGTTCTTTAATATCACTAAGTTTGGAATCGATTCTATCTTGGAAAGGATGATTTTGGACATTTCTAATCATATCGTTAGCCGCAACGCAATAATCCTTAGCTTTGTTTAGAAGTGCTTTCTGGCGATTGCAAACTTCTGGGGTTACTTCACTCGGCAGAAAGCCCGATATCTGTTCCTCTGCTAACGAATGATATATCTATAAAAATAGAAGAAAAAAAAATTGTCATGTTTTCTTTAAACAAACAAAAGTTAAAAAATTTTACCTCCGCCAGACGGTAAGTGGCATCAACTGTTTTGATTGGTTTTAGCAATTCGACAGCCTGTTCTAACTGTTCCATTTTCATGTAATAACAGCCGATAAAATAGCGACCTTCATTCAGTAATTTAGCCACCTCAACATTAGACAGCTGTTTATTAGGATACTCAAACATTTTATTACTAGTGTTAAATTTTTGCCTGAACCCTTCCTTTGATTCATACTGTTCCAACTGCTGGCAGGCTTTCTGCCATAGATACAAAGCTCTGTTGTCACAAGCTTCAGCTTCTTCAATTTTCTCGGCTTCTTCTGCCTTCAAAACAAAAGTAAAAAGATTATATAACATCAAACATAATTTCTATATAAACTGTTCGTTTCGAAATAGAACTTTTTCACTAAACAGTCAAAATTATTACAAAAATTGGTGAACATTTTTTTCTAAAGACCTGAATTGATTTCCAAAAAAACCCTCAACAAAACCTTTAGTTTGTCCTTGTTAAATAAAAAACTAAGCAATTAAAAATAATGAACAGAAACCAAGCAAAAGGAAAATGAAGGTTAAAAAATGCGTTTTTCAGCAGTTTACATTTGAATTTAGACTTATTGTGTCCACTTTTTAAGACATAGTTTCTTCTATGCCACACAATACTTCCCACATTTCCACCAATTAGCAGGGTTCCGGTTATATTGGTATTTATCCTTTCATAAATGCCATTGTATAGATGTATATGTAAATGATTATTTAATTATTATTTTAATTAAATAGTTATAAACATATTTAATGTTTAAATTGAGCTTGTCTGGTGGTCAAAATTGCAAATCCTTTAAACCAAACGATGCAAAAAATCTATTTTACTAAAAAAAATAATAAATTTTAGACAAAAAATTATAGTAAATAGTAGTATAGTAAAAATTATAGTCTTAAGTGGAGGAAACAATTCAATTTGCAACAATTTCATCCATAATTACATAAGCGATGTTTCACATTGATAATAAACATATTTCTTAAATAAATTACCCTAAAAGCGAATGTTCTTGCTAAAACAATAATAAGGGGCAATGGTAAATCTTCTCCCCTCACAATCTGGATACCCTTCTGAAGGATGTGTCGTAATTCTGACATTTTGTTTCCTCCCGTATTGTGAGAACCTGATTTTACACCACAAGCAAAACTCCACCTAAAATATAAACAAATTTATAAATAATGAATAACTTAACAGATGTATCGCCAATGAAGGTTAACATAATCACTGTCTTAATTATTTTTCAAAATCATTTTTTAATCAATTTAGTACTAATAATCTTAACCCTTTGCAGACGAGGGTCGGTAAATAACCACCTAAGTCTTTTTCCATTGGAGAAACATGTCAACAAGGTCTATTCACCGTGGTAGACACATATTATGAAGCGGTTCTCATATTAGGCTGGTCACACATTGGAACTTACTATGTCTGAGTGCAACTAAATATAACTTACTCATTCAAAAAACTTTTAGTCGAGCTATTTTTCTGACCATAGTGGTTGGCATGAATTTGAAATGGTTTTTTCAGAATATTTTAGTTTACTTTATAGATAATTTATGAACAGAAAAGTGCAGTAAGGCCTCACATCTCACAACTTATGGGAGCATATATGCGCAAAAAAGTGTGAATTCACTTGAAAATAGGCGGATGATACAAACACATACAGATAATAAAGCCCTTTTCAATTATACCCGTCCTTTTTATTTGAATTATTGCGAGTCGCGAGAAGCAAATGGTATAAAAAACAAGATTGGACTTTACTATGAACTGGAGGGCCCTCCTAGCCCGCCATGGAGGTTCGGACTGTACATATTCCCACCCAGGACAGTTTATGGGACCAACAAGAAAATTACTATATATCAAATGTGCAAACTTTTGTGTGTGTGCGTAAGAATAAATATATAAAAATTATACATAATTTACATTGAGTTCTGTAAGTTTTGTAAAAATAATATGTAAATTTCTGTAAAGTTAGTCGATTCATTGGACCATCAAAATTTGAATGGTAATTGGTTCCAGTGTGAGAGCAGCCTTACATTTGCTTTACAAGAGAATTAGAGAGCTTTATTGGTGAACTTTTGATGTGGAATGATGCCTGAGTCTGTCTCTAGTAACACCTACCATATTGGCTAGCATTTTTTTTAATGTATACTTTATACATTATGATACCCCTATACACACTGTTTAAAGTACCGATAACAAAATATTTTATTGAATCTGACAACTTTATGATGATGACAATGCTTCATCAAACAGTGGAAGAAAAATTGTAGCAAAAATTTGCTCCAACATTTACACTTTTGATTGCCAGTGATCCTCCAATGACAAGCGCAAGCCATGTAGTCACACAGCTTGTATCACCATCGCAAAGCTCCTTTTGCTCTTAATGTATTATTATGAGCAAACCACGTAATAAATTGTTAGTTAAATTTAATAAGTACAACCATTTAAAACATTGCTAGTTAAATTTAATTGTTTTAAATAAAGTTATTCCAGTGTTTTGATAAATTTTCTGCCAAACCATTAAATAATTTTATAAAAACTCATGAATTTTTCATCTTCATTTAATTTGGTTTACATTAAAATAAGCATGTTGTAATTAATATAACGATAAAAATACATATAGTTTGAAATAAAATACAAAAAATATGAGTGCCCAGTTCTTTTGTATTCGACTGTCTGATCGCAAATCTGGTTAGTTAAATTTTATGAGCAAAACCATGTAATAAATTGTTAGTTTAATTTTATGAGCAAAACCATGTAATAAATTGTTAGTTTAATTTTATGAGCAAAACCATGTAATAAATTGTTAGTTTAATTTTATGAGCAAAACCATGTAATAAAATAAATTGTTAGTTTAATTTTATGAGCAAAGCCATGTAATAGATTTAAGTTTAATTCGTTCTATCAATAAATGGTATTCCAGCATTTTGATAAATTTTCTGCCAATCATTAAAATTAAATGATAAGTTGACTTAAAAGTGCTCATAAGTTTTTGATCTCGTTTAACTTGGTTTATGTTAAAATAAGCATATTGAAATTAATATGACAACAAAAATACATACAGTTTAAAATAAAAATATGAATGTCCAGTTCTTTTGTCTTCGACAGTACTCAATGAAAATCTGGACAGTGGGAAACTTTGTGGCATTGGGCAGATGTGCATGGGGTTAATATAAAATGAAAAAATATAAAACAAGATGTACATAAATACAGCAAAACTAAATATTTTTTCTTAACTTTTATGAAGTAAAAGCTCTATGTTTCTAAACTGTGAGCACCAATATCTCTTGTCAACAGTGACTCTGTCAGCGAAGGATTGGTATGTTTAATGAATTAAATACTATAATTAAAACTAGACTGTTTTTCATAAATTATTTAAATCTTATAACAATACCATTTAGATTGCTCTGGTGTGCAAAGGAGTGAAGAAATATCTGCAGGAAGTATTGCCGGTTTGATAAAGCCAGAAAAACCACTGGTCTCATCCTGAAGAGCGCTTACTGAGAAAACTAGAATATAAAAACAAAATTATGATATATATCATATAATGTTGACTTATATATTATTGTATATTATTTACTTGATGTATATAGGAATGATTCAACATCTAGCTGATTAAGTGATTCAACTCCACAATTTTGTAAATTTTTCACAGTGAGTTGAAGCGATTTGAAAGAATTTAAAGGAATTGTCGAGGATAGTTTGCAAGACAAAATCTGGCCACGATTTTCAATCGATTGAAGTCCTAACCAAACTAAATGATGTAAACTTCGAGGGTAGTGCACCTCAAAAGAACGACCTGAAAATCATTTTTAATCATACAATTAACGAACAAATACAATAAAAAACAATAATGATAATTAAAAAATTAATGCTTACTGCATAAAGAATTTTTCAAATTATCTAATGATGGAAATGACTGAGGAATTTTAACAAACACGTTGGAATTCACAAAAAACGAACTCATTTGTTGATCATCCCTGCCAGAAACATATGCCTAAAACAGAAACACCGTTTATAATTTAGAAATAAATTCCAAACATTTTGGAATTTTTTTAACTTATAAAAAAAGATACCTTAGTAATATGAATAAAGTCACGGATAGTTTGTATTTTTTTAAGACATAAAACACAATATTAATCTATACAAAAAATTATAAAATCTAACAAAAAATCAATAATAATCAAATTAACCTTCCATTAGTAATTACACAATTATGATACCTAAGCTAGGTAACATGGGGGTGACATATAGAAGGAAAAACATAAGGAAAAACAATGTTATTTTATGTGTGGTGATTAGTGACCGTTAATCGATATTTATTTAGAAATCGTGAGATGCGGTCTGGTGTGATGTAGGTTTCAGAAAAACATTTTCTTTATCGTGCCAACATTTCGATCTTTATTGAGATCATCTTCAGGGCTCAAAGTGTTTGTCTTCTGTGTAATTGTGCCATTGTTGCGTGTCATGTCGAGAGTGCCCAGGCACTTTGAGCCCTGAAGATGATCTCAATAAAGATCGAAACGTTGGCACGATAAAGAAAATGTTTTTCTGAAACCTACATCACACCAGACCGCATCTCACGATTTCTAAATAAATAAATATTATTTTAAGTGAAACCATTTATTTAAACATTTATATTTCTAAGTTTTTTAGACACAAATTAAAATTGTGAAATCGTTTCTTGAAGCTGTCAGTACACACCTCTATCTAATGATCACTGCATTTCATGCTAGTTTTGAGTATTTCATGCAGTTTTGTTTTGTCGTTGGGATATGGGCAAAAGTGATGTATTGATTGTTTTTCGAGTTTTAAAGGAAATTTTTGCCCTTTTTATTTTTCCAGTGACTCCCCCCCCCAAAGAAAACTTTCAACAACTTGTACAAGTTGACGTTGCAAATTTGTGTTGAGCCGACATTCCACATGAGGCTAGAAATGCTGGTGAGCCAAGTTTCACAGTATTTTCCTTTTGAGATTTTTCTTGTGGGTACGCTATTTTGTGCTATACCAATGAATTTATACCAGCTTGATCAGTCGTTCTAATGAAAATGCAAAGGGGCCAGTGTCTTGTGTATTGTGAAACACTGTATGTCATTTTTTCAAATGTATCCCTCCCCTTAGTACTACTGTAAAATCTACAATTTTTGGTGTCTTGGTGACTTCACATATGAAAAATTTCATCTCTTCACATTTATGAAATTTGACAAACGAGAATGGTTAACAGCAGTTACGTACCACTCCAAACACACAAAAATATTACAAACACTGGTAATCACAGCTGTCAACAATATCAATGGAATGCTTCTAATCCCTGGAATTGCTTCTAAATGAGAATCGCAAGCTCCAAGGACGGGTCTGCCATGTGTACCAATGTAACAGTAAAAAATAGCAAAAATGTAGACGAGTAGGAATAATACTCATCATCCCCATAACCAACGGAAGGTTAAAGATATTTATACTTAGTCTCATACGAAGCTCAATATTATTAAAACTATAAAATGTATTTCATAATGATTGATTGACAATTCTTAGTTGTGACTAAAGCCCAGATTTGTATGCAATTGCACATTTTGCTAACAGTTATGAATGACACTTATGACCATGGTAATCTAAAATTTCATCGCACCTCCTTGGTACAATGATTTTAAATTTAATTCTGCACATTTAAAGAATATTGTAAATTTGAAACATTTTTGAATACTTAAAAAAATAAAATAGGTAATTAAGAACATGAGAAGAAACAAACAAGTAGAAAATTTCTTGGGATTGGTTAAATTGCCAAGAACAAAGAAATAAGCAAAAGCACAATATCTCGAAATAATCTGCATCATTTTTGAAGTCCCTATTTCCAAAAGATCTAGTCTTTAGTTTTTGTCTTGCCTGAAGAACTGTTTTTTCTAAAGTTTTGTTTTTCATCATTTGGAATACAAAAATAGACAATTCCAAAACCCCTTTCATATTTTCAACCTAGAAACTTAAAAAAAAGAAAATAATAATAATTCAAATAATGAGCTTAAAGTGCATATTCAAATTCTTCTAAAATAGCTTGGATTTATCTTTTCAAAACAAAACCGAAATTTTTCTCTATCTCTGTAGAAATTAAAATCTCCATCAATGCATTAATTATGTTACGAAAGATATGAATAACATCTTAACAACAATACTAAACTGACTGGATTTGATTTTAAGTTCTTTTAAGAAATTTCCCATTAACTATGTCGATACGTAAAATTTTTTTTGGAAGTACAAATATTTTGTTATGTAAAAAAACATTGTAGTTTTACAAACTCTAACTTTGAAAGGTATCTCATTGTCCATTTAAATTCAAATAATGTACTTAATTAAGCCTAATTATTTATTTTAAATCATATCGTTTTTGTTTTACCGAAATTTTTCTGTTCTATTTACTTTCAAAATGAATAAGTATGAGGCGAAAAATAAAACACTATGCCTTGTTGTATAAGTTAGTGATTAGTTGGTGATTTTCTCTGACATTCATGCTGTGTATTTAATATTTTTAGAGCAAATTAGAATATATATTTTGAAGGTTTATTTAGTGCATATATGACAATTTTCATTGCATATAAATCCAGGCTCTAGGTATAACATAGGTATAAACCGCTTGTAACTGAATGATACTACTATAATTAGAAGATGTATTTTGGTTTATCATAACATAAATACTATTGAGTGAACGTGAATAATGTTAAAGAAAAAATTCAAAACTTTTCAGTATTACTTACTTTATAGATTTGTCCTCTCCAGTCACTTGTCGTGTAATGATTTATCTTGTCAATAAATGTTTTCTGAGTCTGCGATTCTTGGCTCATTGCCTTGAGAACATGAGTGGCTTGAACAAGCCTGCACATTCCTTCGTGTGACCAATACCCGACAAGTTTCCTATGTGAATCTTTGAGTGAGAGGCACCAAACAGCATCACAGCTTGGAGGTTCGACAGTTGCAAGCAAGAAAAGAGGCCCTAGAGCTTTTTTTACATCCTTCCAGATTGAATTTTCCTTTTTGGCTTGTTTCATTAGCAGTAATGCCAAGTAGAAGGCCAGTTGGGCTGAAACGTGCTTCAAAAATTCGTTGTACATTTCTGGCGCTTTCACAATTTGTTTGTATGCCTGATTCAGGATTTGATCTAAACTATATTAAAAACACAACAAAAATATATAATTCAAAGTTTGTTTCATGTAATCACAATTACATGAAAATTTGTAAAAGTCAATAAAATAAAAATATCTATATACAGTGAAAGTCCCTTAACAGACACCTCTAAAAAGCAGACTGTATTCTGAATCTAAAACTATGCCAAAACGGACTTTTCTTCTTCTGAAAAACGCCACTTCCACTATGTGTTTTGTCCATGTGTTTTTCTCAAAGTACTTAATTTTCATTATGCAACTTTGCGAACATGTTTATGCACTTCTTCAGTATGACTGGATTTTGGTGCGATATCAAATATGCCTCCTGACATGCATTTGACACTTAAAGAAAAAATTGATATAATTTAAGAAACTATTGTAACCATTTCTAAAGAGTCACTGAGGGACCTCAATATAACTGAAAATTCAGTGAATGTCAAAAATAAAATTTTAAATACAAAAAAAGCCTAATAGAAAATTACAATTAAAAAATGAAAATTTTATGTCTTCAATTTGAACATTTTTTTTATCTTCTTTTGTGTTTAATAAATCATTTTCAAAATCAGTAAATATGACTTTAATTATTGATTATGGCCTATCTTTTAATATTAAACTTTGAACAATAACTCTTCGGCAAAAAGTGGCCACCTCTATATAGCAGACAATATTCCATTTTCCAGAAGTGTCCACTATGCAGACGTATCACTGTATATAAAATAAGGAAATGTGTTGCCAGTTAACTCATTCATGACTGCAACTCTCAGAATTCACAGAAAAAAAAATCAATTAGCTATAATAATTGAACAGATTGGGTAGTAGATAAATTTCATTGTGTATGAGTTATAACTTATAAGAAGCAAAAGAAAAAGTAATTTGAATTCATTAAATAAAACAATTAGCTATCAATCTAATTGAATAGATTTAAGCAATACGAGATACATTCATTCATAAAAGGTTTGTTCCAACACAAATCCAAACCATCAGCAAACTGGCGGGTGAATGCGTAGTTGAGTTTGGGTGTTCCAACACACTAGAAACACATATTCAAACTGTCAGATGGCCGTTTTCATCAAAACAACTTAAGAATTGGACTGGCAATTAGAAACCTGCGGAGATGATTCCCACACTTTCATTCTTGTCAAATCAAAAATTCTTACTTATTACTAGAACCCAGATTTATATGCAATAAAACTCCTCAAATATGCAATATTTTGTGAACTCAAAAAACCTCAAATATTCTATTTAATTTGCTATCATAAATGTATGTAATGTTGTGTGGTGATTAGTGACCGTTATTATTCAGAAATCGTGAGATGCGGTCTGGTGTGATGTAGGTTTCAGAAAAACGAATGCTTTTTTCCAATCTCAGACTACTATAGTCAAACGGTGCCTCTGTATGGTTTGTAATTGTAAACATTAAAATGTTTTGGGTCATAAATGGAATTTGAGAATGAAAATATTTTAAAAAATTAAATTTTGTAGCCCTCATATTGTTACCTAAAATTTCACTTTTTAATATAAGGTTCTACTTCGTCTTCAACTATTATTCAGAAATCGTGATATGCGGTCTGTTGTGATGTAGGTTTCAGAAAAACATTTTCTTTATCCTGCCAACGTTTCGATCTTTATTGAGATCATCTTCAGGGCNGAATCGGACCATGGACAATATGAACTTTTTTGTTCATTTTAGGGTGAAGAATCTACTGGAGAAGTTTGTAGCACGAGTAGCAATTCACCCTGTATATAAATCTTGCTATCAACTGGAACTCCGTATAGGAGTACGCCAATTAGCTTCCACCAGAAGGAACGACAATTTTCAAATTTTTTCTTTTACAGATTTGAATGATTTTTTATTAAATTATTATATTATTTTATCTTTATATTTCCGAAATTAGTTTAGTTTTTTTAAGGAAAGTTACTAGTTTGTTTATTTGGTCGAAGTCATCACCAAGCGAGTCTTTTAGATTGGTTGGAATTTCCAACCGATGACTTTCTGCTACATATTTTTTGCAATTTGTCAAAATGTGTTTCACTGTTATTCTTTCTGCACAAACATCACAAAGCGGAGTCTCTTTTTTTGCCATAAGATAAGAATGAGTAAGCCTACAATGACCAATTCTAAGCCTAGCAAGGACAACTTCTTCATGCCTGGAACTTCTATGAGATGAGGCCCAAGGTTTTACACTATTTTTTATCTCCCTCAGTTTGACATTAGAAGTCGTTTCCCACTCCGTTTGCCATAACTGCCAAGACTTTCTTTTATGCCAAGCTGCCACATCGGATTTTGGTGTTTTTGTAGTTTTAACTCCATTAAGGATGGCCAGTTTTGCCAAATGGTCCACCTTCTCATTGCCAAATATTCCACAATGTCCAGGAATTCACATGAAAACTACTCTAGAAATGTAAGATTAAAACAGTCTTTAAAATATACAAAAACGAAAGTGGCTTTCAGTCTGAATTTGCGTGAACTCTCAATAATCAAACATTGGCACCAAGCGCAATCTGGACATCCACATAAAAATTGGTACATGTGTTGTTCTGATGCTGATGATGATGAGCTGAAAGCACTGGCCCGGCGAATCGGCGTCCATATAAGGACGCTGTTTTGCCCTGGAAGCCGTTTTAAATGTATATTTCTTCGAGGGGACACCGAGTTGATAGGAAGATGTATATATATATTTTTTGCATTGTATACATTCACTTTTTCACATCCTAAATGTATTTGTTAAATGTAAACAATGTTTGTAAATCCCAGGCCCTGAAGATGATCTCAATAAAGATCGAAACGTTGGCAGGATAAAGAAAATGTTTTTCTGAAACCTACATCACAACAGACCGCATATCACGATTTCTGAATAATAGTTGAAGACGAAGTAGAACCTTATATTAAAAAGTGAAATTTTAGGTAACAATATGAGGGCTACAAAATTTAATTTTTTAAAATATTTTCATTCTCAAATTCCATTTATGACCCAAAACATTTTAATGTTTACAATTACAAACCATACAGAGGCACCGTTTGACTATAGTAGTCTGAGATTGGAAAAAAGCATTCTAATCAAGTTAACAATTCATGATCACTTGATGGTAGGGTAAGCACAGTCAATCATTCATGGATTAGTTGGCAACTAGTTTATAATTTTGTGTTGGAACAAACCTATCCTAATTTTGTGATAAACGATTGTGTAAAATAACATGAAAAGTAAAATGAAAGTAAAAACGTACTTGAAAACTGCTTCTGTACATTCTGTGATTTCAGTTGTATTTTGAGCGACTTCACTCAATGTAAGGGCACAAATCCGGTTGAGGGAGCAAAACCAATGGATATAAAAAATCCAATCGCATTTGCTGGTGTTTTTCTCAGAATATACCTTCGCAAGAAAAAAAATTATTATTTCAGTTTTAAAATTACAAAAGTGTAACAAATAGCATTACCTTGCATACGTGATTAACGCACTGATACCAAGCAAGGCAGTTGCTGTGGACTTGTCTAGACTCTATTTCAAGAGTGTGGTTGTAAGCCTGTACAATGCGTCCGGAATCTACTTGAAGCATCAGCCATTTTATTCTGATGTTAACATCATTCGGCCTAGCTTTTAGTTCAGCTTCAAAAATAAAGTCAACACAATTAAATTAATGATACAATCAAACAGGACATTGTTCTTACCGAGTAAAAGACCCTCTAAATCATTAGACGTTCCGTTCATATTGGCTGTTAGCAACCGTTCCTTGAGTTTAAAAACAACAGGTTCGTGCGGAAATAATTGAGATGCCTTCTCAACCCAATACTTAGCCATCGCTGAATCAAATTCCACATCTTTATCACAGAGCAAATCACATACTGGAAATAAAAATACAAGGTTTGATATCATAGATTTCAAAAGCTAAATCACCAAAACTAACTTTTAAGCACCAGATCCATTTGATTAGCCTCCAACTGCAATGACTTTTTGTAAGCTGTCAAAGCGTTATTAATTTGATTCAGGCCTTCGCAAGCTTGGCCTAAAAGTTTGTATCCAATGGCTGAGTCGGGTTTCTCAGACAGGTACATTGTCACAAATCGTTTCGCCGAATCATAATCTTGCAATTTGTAGTAAAGCTGTGCAATGCTACAGCATCGCAAATTTCGCTGCAACAGAAAAATAACAGAATGAAGTACAACTGTGATTCATAAACCATTAAAATGTTCTACTTTGTTTAATTAAATTTATTTATTATTTTTTATAAAAATGAATTTTAATTTGATTCCGTCTTATTGAGTGACATGGATGAGGGGTCAGACCATAAATGTTTTCCTTCCAATAATTTTCATATAAAATTTCAAGGGCAATGACAGCATTTGAATAAAAAAACGCAAGATTGGCAAATATTCGACAATTTTTGAAAATTTTAAGATTTTTGCCAGGTGCAATAGTTGGGTTGTTTGCATTCTCCTGAGTTTATCTTTTTAGTAGGCACAAAAGGACAATAAGGCAGAAAGAATAATTGGAAATAGCAAAGCTACAAGTTCATCACCCTGCAGACCACACAGAATAGTCCCAAATAAATCAAATATTCAAACTTCAAGACACACTGATAAAACTATGTAGAATTGACTCCTGATATTTCAAAACACAAGGACCACAAAATAATTCAAATTAACAAGAACTTCGAATTATCAAGAGGATAGAAAAATTATTAAGAGTTGATATGCATTTTTGAAGGTTCTTACTTAAATTGTACATATATAAAACACAACAAAAATAATGAAACAGTGGGTCAACTGTAGAAGTGATGATGCAGTATTAAAAAAAAAATCATAAAATAGTTTTGCTTGAATGTGGCCTGGCGTTCTTATCTAAATGATTTCCAAAGTGATCATTCCTAAGATCACATTGACAAAACCCAACTCTGAACATGACAATCTAGGAAAAATTAGGCTTCAAGGAAGTACATATATATGTAGAAATTTAGAGGAAATTATAAAAAAAGTTCAAAATATAAAGAGAGGAAGTGGCTCCATTTCAATTAATAGAATGCTCTCTCTTCACCTGTTACAAAAAATATTTTATTTAAAGAATGTATCAAAATTCACAGCATTTTTCGATTTACCAAAATAACCTGCTGACAAGTTTGTATTATCAAGAAATTTGAATTATCAAGTTTCAAATTAACAAGTCAACTGTATTTATTTTATTTATTTTCACTGCCGATACAAATCTTACAGGTGGATCAAAATGAACAAATACTATTGAACTGCCCACAACTAATGTTTAGTATTCAATTTTGACTGCGATTGACTACTTAATATACTAAATAACCACAAAAAGATGATGAAACGCTTCTGACACAGACCAATAAAGCAGGCCTAAGCAGAAAAAATGATCAGATATAATCATACAACTCCACAACTGATTAGTGTGATATGTTAACTAAGGAATCATAAATTAACAAACCAGCCAGCGGATAGACTAACTCAGCTAAACCCTCCTACCTACCTGGCAGACAATGCAGCAACAACAGGCAGTCCAAATTGAAACGATCAAACCACATGTACATCACCCTGCAAACACTGAATAAGAAATCTCATAAAATATCAAACGTGTATTTAAAAAAAGAAAAAGAAAGTCGATCAACTTCAACGGGTTACATTCTGCCGCCTTAACACTCATCATCAAATTTGACCACAAGGTGGCTGAGCAGCTAAAGCTTATCTAGCTTTTGTAATAATAATAATAATAATAATAATAATCCAGAGACTCATTAGAATGCGAATAGCAATTATTATTCAAAGGTTTGTCCTCAAGAATCTCTGATAGTTGTCTAGCAGGCAGTATTGTCTTCTGGCCTGGTCGTATTTAACACTATTCCCGATTACGTGTCTTTCTGTTACCAACTCCCTATATAAGAGGCAAATAGGAGGCGATTCTCCAGCCATCAGATACCCATGGGTGAGCCTGCAGTGCCCTATTCTCAGACGAGTCAATACGGTTTCTTCCTGTTTCGTTGCCCGGCAAGAAGAATTCAACTTCCCATAAACTTCTTTAAAAGATAAAATAATTTATTTAAAAAAATTTTACGCCTGGCAGGATACATGGCAGCTGGGATGTATCAGCAATTTTGAGCAATCATGGAAATCAGACAGTAATAACATGCTGCCGATCATTATATAAAGATTAATACAGATAGGTCATATATCTATGCGACACACAACCGTCGGTTGTTAGTTAAAGAGAGTTAAACGAAGCAGAATCAATTATTACGTAATTGTGCATTTTATTAAAAAAAAAAAAAAAAAAAAAAAAAAAACGACGAATAAATTATTATAATGTCGTGTAGGTTGCCGCATAAGTGTTTTAATGGATTTTCATAGTTTACCTCTTTATCATTTTTCACTTTACGAAGGACATTGTGGACGTGCCGATCAACGTCCGCTTTGCTCCTGAACATGTTGAAAGCAGACGGCTTAAAATAATTTAAAAAAAGAGAAATCTAAATGAATTTTTCTACAACATTTATAACCGATCGAGTCTCAACGTGTCAGCTATTTCACCACTGTCGAAACGAGTTAAAGTTCGACCAACGGCGAGCCCGATTGTCCACCATGACTACAGCATCATGGCGGTAAAATTGGGCAAAATCGTTGAAATCCGTTTTTCCCTTTATAACGCATTTAAAATAATTGAAAAATTTATAAAACAGAAAATAAACATTCATTCAATTAGAGTATCTCGAATTTCAATTAGTATTTTTAGTTGTGTAAATTAGGAGGGGCCACCTCTGACAATTCATTATAATTTTTTTCCGGCAAAAATAAAACATGTACAATATTTTTACTTTATAAAACAAAACTGCCTTTTGTTAAAAAAAAAGTACGCTTAATTTATGTTGATCAAATGCTTTAAGCTACTTTTAAACGAAAAAATTACCAAATAATAAAATAAAATATTCTGAGTAAACAATTCGACAACTTCCATAAATCATTTTATATGATTTTGTTTTTCAAAAAAAATCGTCTATAATAAAATCGAAAGAATTTCAATAATTATTAATCCAGCATCATTTAAAAAAAAAGTCGAAGTATCGAATCTGGAAAGATCGATTCATACTGTTAACGGTCCTTTCCTTTTTGTCTTCTTTTTAAGTTCTCTATTTCGTTGTCACTATTTAGTGATTTTCATGTATTTTATGCCATTTGTGTACATGTCCGTTGGACTTGTAAATCATGAATAAGTCGAAAATTTTACTTAGTGATATAAATCACTCCAATGAAGGTACGTACTTATTTTTTGTATCTCCATAGTTTGTAATTGAGTGAATGTTTATTATACTCGTTAAAAAAATGTTTACAATGAGTAAATATTTTATGAAATCTGCAGCTCAGTTTAAAAGTACTTGGTATGATCAAGCATATGCATATATAAAAACACGTGCCAAGATATGGGATGAAAAATAAATGCCTACCAGTTTGTTAAAAGGAGAAAGATACCACATATTAACTACTTAACCATTAGATTTTATAAAATATAAAGGAGTAAAACTTCAAGGTTTATTCGTGTACTATATAGGGCTCTATTTGAAGTTCCACATAAATTCATTTGTCTATTATATAGAAAGGGAAAAGTTGTTGGGGTGAAGTTTCAGTTGAAGCTTAGCTTTCACACAACAATCCAGTAGTTGGAGAAACAACCAGTCTTGCCTGAAAGTAGCCTATGGATCATCCTACCAATTTTCTTTATTTTTACGAAGATTTTTCCTTATTATGTACTGATATTACCTTCTCAGCATTTGACTCTAGCCAAGCCACTTCACTCCTTTTAATTTTATCACTATACTCTTTAGATTTCATATCATACCAAAGGGCAAATATGAATTTCTTCAAATTGTAACACTTACTCAACAAGGTGACTGGTATGAAGGACAAATGCCAAGTTGTGTGTTCTCTGTTGAATCAACCAGTGAGCATAAGAACATGAACTTGTGATTCGTAATCATTTGCTATGTGGTTACACCACTTGACAACCATCAACTAGTTGCCAGTTAACCGCCTCGCCTGAAAGAAGCTTTAGGCAAGGAATATACAAACCTAGCAAGTAAGATCCTCTAATCCAAAGTTCTTACTCTGGAATATGGTACAATGATGAGTACACAGCGTTAGTAAAATGCCAAAATGCATCTGATACAATATGCATGAAAAAATAACCAATCCTCAATATAATTTTATATATTAAAACTACTCAAATATAAATTAAAATTATTTGTTTTAAAAACAGAAACTTTTATTAATGTAAATGCATTACCAATTGAACGTTTTTTTCCTTAAACAATACATTGATTGTGATTTGGGGTTTGCATGGTGTGATGAACTTGCAGTCTGGTCATTTCAGATCATTTTGCTGTTGGTGTTTTTTGGCTTTTTCTGTATCTTAAGTGGTGGGATTTTGCCAGCAAAAAAAGTACATATTTCCTTCAGACCCACTATTGAATCTACAATGTGTCAGACCAACATGCTCAGAAACAACTTAACAAATAAAACCATTGTTTGTTTTGTTTAAAAAAAAGTTAAATTTTTTCATAGTTTTAAATTTTAATAGTGCAGCACATTTTTATAACGACAGTAAAATTCAAGAGAAGAGAGAGGCCATGAAAATAAAAACTCATCATATTTTGTTTACATTTTCAGATAAAGGAGCCATTGAAGACTATGAAGCAAAGAGTGAGGACATAAAAAAGTGATTTGCCAATTTAATATAAAATAATTATAAAAATAGACTTGTTTTAATCTTGTGTTTTGCAATTTCAGTTATACAAACATTTGTCAACGAGAAAGACAAGATTGGAAAAACGTTTACCATGTCCTTAAGCAGAGGAAGGAAAGACTGGAAACTGAAATGTACGTTGTAAATAGTAATTGTATATCCCCTGATAACATCATTCTGATTTGCAGCAAGTGCGAACCATGTGCCGAATTCGACTTCAGGTCTCATCTCAGCGAAGATATGCAGCGTTTTTTGTCAGAATGCGAACAGAGGGAAGATAAGAGTATTAAAGAAGTAAAGCGATTATTGGATCAAATCGATAATATTTGTCTCATTAACCTTGCATATGAACAACAAAGAAAGCAGCTCAGAATTATACAAAAGAACTTTCAAGATCGAATACACTGCTATCAGAGAGCAGCGATAATGAAAAATTTAGATAACGATTTTGATTTTAATTTAGAGAAATTTTGCGAATCCACAAACGATAGTCATGAACCGACCTTTTTGTTCAAATAAATATAAATAGAATTATTTGATAATTATTTTAGTAGCACTATTTCTTTGAGAGGGTTTTGTATAAAGAATTAATCATTAATGTAATACTACAAGTTTTAACATTTGTTTTCTTTTAAAATTTCTATCATTGTCAATTAAAGTTAAAAAAAAAAATCATTTGTGTATCACAAATGATTTTATAGCTGTAAATTTATGTATGATATTTTTAAAAAATGATACAATTTAAAATGTACATTTATTTACCTTTGGTAATGATCACATTTTTAAAGCTCTAAACTTATGTAGTTTAACCTAACATCTATACAAAAATATTTGTTCTCTTTGTACGACTATTATTTACAGAATATCAAATCGGCACTTACAAATTTAAAAAATATATATATAAACAGAATTATTTTTGACTAAAAAAATTTGCTAACAACAACAAAAATATGTTATTTTTTATCATGATGTGAAGGGATAGGAATAGGTTGTTTAAAATGAGAACCTTCAAGGTGTTTCATATAGGCAAGAAACGTCGTCCAGGCCAGACTGCAAATGCTGACAAATGGTACCCGATTTTTTTCAGAGATCATTGTATAATTGACTGTTTGTAGAACTGGCCAAACGCATACACCGACCTGAAACAAAATATAATATCGTATATTGCTAGAATGATATTTCACAAGAAATAAATTATATATATACATATATATATACATACATACATATATATACATATATATATATACATACATACATATATATATACATATATATACATACATANACATATACATACATACATATACATACATACATATACATACATACATATACATACATATATATACATATATATATATATATATATATATATATGGAGGATATGATACCTTGTATGTCGGTAAAAACTTATCAGAAACTTCTTCCTTCGCTTGGTCAGTCGTTTTTCCTTCGAGTAATGACATTAAAAAATAGAAGCTTATCATGGCAAATGGAGTGTACGTCACTTGTTCTATGAGAGCCTGAAAAATAATAAAAATTTAAAACTGTTATTAGAACATCGAACACAGATATGGGAGATGGGATTTAACAAGAAAATATAGTAAGAGTAAAAAAAAGGAATGAAGTCAAATATTTTTTTTTTAAACTATTTGTTTGAATATTAAATTAACAACCAATCAAAATACAGTGTTTGCCAGTAGAGTCTTCATTCAAAATGGAACCAAATCCAAATTAACTATGGCCTGAATCTCAACAGTTTCGGAGTTATTCCCCTTTTTCTGATTTCATGTCTACATTGATAACCAACCTCAGGATTATGGGGTGGTGGTGACTGGGGGAGAAGCAGAACTACACAGGCAGAGGAAAATTAACTTCTGTATTAAAAGCTAAGTTACAAGACTGGAGGGCTTTCTCTGTCTTAGCTGGTTTGGGCTGTTTCATGTTTTGGAATTTTGCCAGACCCAACACTGAAGATGGGGACTTATGAGTGGCTGACAGACCAAATTAGCAAATATGGACTGAAAAATTATCGAAATGACCAAATTATAATGAAATAGTTAGGTGTTTCTGATCATTTTTGTCTATCTTAGATGGTTTGGCCTGTTAAACGTTTTGGAATTTTGCCAGACCAACACTGAATATGGGGCCGGAACGTGTCTGACAGACCAAATCATACAAGATATATAGCATAATGAACAGAAACGACCAAACTACAAGTTCACTGCCCTGCAGACCCTTTAAGAAATCTCACAATACAATAATTTGGTACTCTGAGAATGGTATTTTTAGGTGTATTGGCTATAAACAGACATATTATGAAACAAAATTTCTAAATAAAAAGCTTGAGAAATCTGGTAATCTTAGAAAAGAAAAAGTCAAGAGATACAAGGCAACCCTTTGTTTTGGTTCTGCAAACAGTAACAAAACAGAGCGTCGTGCCGGTTGTGATAGTTTCAGAGTATGTAGTTATTAGAACTTTAAGGTTGAAGTTGAGTACGATTGCAATATTCTTAGGGCCCTCAAAGGGAATTTTGTAACTGAAAAAAAGTAAAATTACCTTTGAAAGGGCGGCGGAAAAGGTGTTTTGGGGCCACATGAACCTAGCAATTTTCATCCATATGTTGAGTGTGGGGGCGACATAGCAAGATCCATAAAGGCAGAACCTGCCGACACGCCATAAGTCGTACTCCTTCCTGCCTTCGATGTGCTGCTGAACGAGGCTTCCGATCGGCCATATGACCGCATAAGATGCCATGCCTCTGCTGATTGGGTACCGCTTGCTGAAATTCACGATTTTCCTCCATACGGCGGCGCCCCTTTTCGCCGACATCGCGATTCCCAACGACGGTACCTACAAATCAGACTATTGTAGCATAAACATGAACAACCGGCTGAGGCTCCGTTAGCTTGGTTCGAGTCTATAATTATCCCGGTTTGCTCTCGTGCTGGTCATTGTGAAATCCTTGAATTTACGTATGCACCGTTTTTGTAACATGGCAAATGCGTCAGATGATGAGGTTGCTATAGTGGAGGGGAGACAGAAACACATGGAATTGTCAACCGCTCGCATACAAATTACAAGCGCAACATGGTACCATACCCATATGCCCTTATGTCATCATCACTATTAGGTATCATTTCCAAATTTATTCGACTTCTTTTTCTTTTCTTTCTAATCTTTATTAACTAAAATTGATATTTTAGACACTTATAGTCTAAGAATTAGGAGTAGAATTGACTTTTATCATTAGGACAAAGCCTTTTATAGAATCGGACAAACACTTTTGACAACAATTAAAAATTTTTCAGCAAACAGAAAAAAGTTAAAAAAAGAAATAATACAAAATTATTACTGGATATTAAAAATGAGTACCAAAATCGTTAAACATTTCCAAATCAATCGAGTTTCTTGGACTGGTCAAGTTTTTGAATCCAGCTCTTGAATACTTTGAAAAATAACATCGAACTTATATTCCAAACAGGATTTATTCTTTTTTACGTAATGCCCTGTTTTAATTAAGATTTCTAAGTTGACAAATAGACTTGAAGGGTGTCAGATGTTTGATAACTTCTGATTAAACTTTACAGATGTTAGAATTTTTTATTTTTTTTTAATTTTTTTTTTTTAAGGCATAAAACCTCTAAGGGTCATAGCTGCCATAAAACATCCACTAATGCAGCCTCCCCACCGCACGAACCGGTGCGGCCGCGGCCCCAGAGAAGCAGCCACATTGCAGAGGGACAAGCACTATAAACAGCGTGATGTTATCGCTGAACTTATGTTGTTCCGGCTCTCCTGAAAAGATGTGCATGGGCTGTGAACATCCACATCCCTCAAGAGCCGGGGTATTCTTTTCCACCCATATGCAAAGCGCTCGATCCTCCGCTGCGCCCAACCCCCGGCCCCCACCCTCAGGGAACAAGGCTCCCCCTGCCCACACAAACGGCAAAGGCCACACTAATTTATATCCTGTTCATTAAATCAACAGTCTGAAGATATTGGAAAAGTTGATATATGTTGTCTGGATCATCTTTTAGTATGTTATAGAGGGTTTGCGGATAAGAGATGTGGTGTCTGTAGGCTGAGTACATTGGACAGTGCAGAAGAATGTGTTTTGTCGTAATAATTTAAGGCATAAAACCTCTAAGGGTCATAGCTGCCTTAAAACATCCACTAATGCAGCCTCTTCTTAGAGAACTACAGGGGGTGGTTCTCTAGCCATTAGATAGCTGCCTGTCTGACTGCCCTATCTGCAATCTCATTCCCAGCAATGCTGCTGTGACCAGGAACCCACAAGAAAACAACCCCAATACCTCTCTCAGAAACACCTTTTAATGCCATAAATATTTCCTGGTTGAGATGGTTATGTGTGAAGGGATCATTCTGTGCTGACAAGGCAGGGAGCGAGTCAGAACATATTAATAATATTTTACTTCTTGGGCAGATTATATTTATACATTTATGTCCACTAGCCACTAGCTCAGCACTAAAATTGCTGCACATTGGAGAAAGAGAGAAAAGATATTTCCTATTATTGGACATAAAAGCAGCTCCTACTCCATTTGAGCTTTTCGACTCATCAGTAAATGCTAAGGTAGCATGCGGAAAGTTCTCTAGGATTTCTAAAAATTTTTGTTTGTATACATATGGTGGGGTGTTTTCTTTTTTGAGTTTAGCGAGTTGTAGCTGACAATTAGCTTTTGGTGAGAGCCAGGGAGATGTAGAATATAATTTTTTTGATTGCCTTGAGGTTTTTTAGTCACATTACTTGCAAGTCTATATTTGACCCTAAGGTCTTTGTGGTTTATATGTGTCAAAATATGCTTGGTTACTTCAGTTGGAAGGCTAGTTTTTTAAGAAGAAAAACTTTTCAGTAAGAATAATTTGTTTTAAAAAATTTGTCAATCAGAAAAATGAGATTTATTTTACTGCTTTTTATTATAATTGAAACTGTTTTATATTCAGAATTTTCAGTATATCCACACAGGGTTCAATAATTGTTTGGTTATTTAAAACATGATGAGAAGACTTTTTGTAGCTGTGTTACTAATTAATAATTAATTTTATAAAGATTATTCTGTTAATTGTATTAAACGAGGTTAGAATGAGATTATGTTCAAGTTGAACAACACATTTCTTGTTTTCTTTAGAAGCTCAAGAAATGAAAAATGGTGAAGGCACCGGAAAGAAATCCCCACATAGAACCATCTGAGGATGTTTGGAAAATTCAGTGCTATCAAGGGTGGTCACTAATCACTGGTCAATGAGTAGGAGTAGAGTCAAGTGACATGGGTCAATTGGTCACAGGTCAATTAGAGTTTATAATTAGTAGTCAGTGCCCAATAATGAGAAGTTGGATTTTGAATACAACAGACCTCAGTTGTTGGTTGCAAAAATGGAGACAAGTGGGCTAGACCTTGTTATATTTTTATTGAATGAACGAGCTTTGGGTCGTAGTGTCTGGCTTTGGCTTAGATGCCTCTTTTATGGATTTTAAGCAGTTCACAAATGTTGTTTTGAAATGTGAAGACCTGGATTATTTTATCGCCACAATGATGGATTTGGGAAAAAGTCAATCTCTGAAATCTCAATCTAAACATGTATATGAGAGCCTCAGAATGACTCATAGGCTCATAAGCCATCTTGTGGCATAAACTATGGTCATATTAAAAAAGAACTGAAATCATGGGTAACTAAAGAACACAACAAATCCAATGGGAGATTAAATTCATTTGGTATGAAAACTTATGGTTTTAAAACTGTAAGCAGACGTGCAACTAAATCCATCTTGCTGTTGGTGAAGTAGATTTTTATATTTATTAATAAAGTTCATCAGTATCCATTTGACCATTAACATGCTTTGATGGCTATCATCCTCAAAATGGAAATATGACAAATTGAGTTTTTTTTAAGCAGAGGAAAATGTTTTATGTGGCCAAAATGTCATACAAAAACATAGTTCTGATTCAATTCAGTCCCATGAATTTATACTTTCCAGTCCATTCTGCGAGATAATGAATTTGCATGAAAATTTATTATAAAAAAAAAAAAAGATTTGTTAGCATTAATATTAGGGGTTTTAATTCTGATCATTTTATATATCTTGTTACTGATTATTAAATAAGCTCAAATCTGCATGTGTATGTCCATAAGTACAAACACACGTGTAGAGTTGAACTTATCACTTCTCACAATGCAGGCAATTCAGCCTTTGTATAATTTACAATAAATTGCCAGCAGGCCTCGAGAATCACCCACCTCGGCAGGAGTTAGCAGTCTGGGTCAGAGATCGGTTGATGTCTGTCACCATGTTTGCGCTCCAAGGTCAATCAGCAGCTAGGTCATTTCAGTTCTCAATGCAATCGGTCACCCATTCACACTCTGCTCACTCTTAAATACATTCTTTCCTATTTACATACCATTCACTCATTTAGGGTTGTTCAGTATGTGATACCTGATTACCCTCTAGTTACATGCTATAGACAAATCTAATTGAGGGTTGATAGGTAGTCCCCATACTAAATTCACACTAAACATTTGAACTAATATTTATTTAAAAATTTAAATTTATTCATCTCGTACACTAAGAAACACAAGACGATATATCTATAAAGTCTATATATAGTAAAACAGTCCTATTTCCTCTAAAACTGGGAACTTCCAAAATTCTCATATTGGGTGGCATTCCTACACACTCTATATGGAACCAAGCAGTGACAACCTTCAATTAAGTGACACATGGCATTTTCATATTTGTTAATCTTGTAAATTATTGGTTTCAAAGTTCTGACTAATGCAATATACTCCTTGAATGCTTGACAAAGGAGTCTCTTTCTTTCAAATTGACCTTCAAAAATAAAATTATGAATTTTAAATTTCATTCCATACTGAGATATTTTACATAGATTGTGGAGTGACATAACACATTATATCGTCATTTAATAAATTAATTAAACCAATTTTGTGTGAAGGGATTGTATGATGCATGCAGCTGCCGAGAGAGGTCGTTAGACTCAACTCTCAAATCTCAGTCACCTTCAATCTGGGCGATGATCGTACTCGACCCACCACTCGTTGACCGTCTCCTTCCACCATCACCTTTCCCCATGCTGGTGGGGGCCAATTGAGGTCAACCGACGAAAATGTCGGCGGTGGAATCAGTGGTCCGTTTTGGTCCGTACGTGTTGTTTGTCATCTACATTCGCTCTCACCGTCCCAGTCGTACGCGTAGTTAACAAACATGTGATCCGCCAAAAATGAGTTGTCACCCCCGCAGCCATAAGATGCTTCGCGTTAGGAGGTACCTTCAAATCTTCCTCATGACTTCTCTCTGTGTCTGCGCTACCCTGTTTCTATTCCACAGGAAAACCTTCGCGCTCAATGACCCAGCACGGGCTCAGGTAACAAACAATCCATCCTTTTAAAATGGTTTCAATTATACCTTAAAATATAACTAACATATTTTCCAGTTATAAATCCTAGAGAATTTAATCTCAGGGGGTATTGTCCTCTGTTTTAAGATATACAGTATTATGGATAATCTATTAATTTTTAGATTAAGGACGTACAGACAATAATAACTAGTGTAATAAAAGAAGAAGATAAAAGATATGACAAAAAGTTAATACTAAATCTACATTATTTTTAAGGCTATACAATTGTTTACAACTGCTATTTTTATTTGTTAATGTAAACACCAGATTATAATAAAATAAATAAATAGAAACATGTGTAGGAAATTTTCTCAGGGTTTCCTGGGAAAATCGTTTCGTTGTTGATTGAAATGAGTTAGTATGATGGTTTGGGTCATGCTAACAATTTTGACAGTTGACAGGTGTGTTCAAGTGACAGGGCAGTTACGCATTTTGTATTTATTATATGACTTTCCCTAATATATTTTTCAAAAAATTATTGATATTATAATATTGCAAATAAAATTGTGTTTGTAGTTTGGTCGTTTCAGGCCACTCTGGTCCGCCCAGTCTCGCTGTTTTGGCACTCGGTCTTAATTTGAGGTTCGTAACTCAGCATGGTGTAAATTTTAGACTGCTGGATCGTTTTTAATGGCATTACTGATGAATGGAGAATTTCCCTGTTTACATGCTTTAACTTACTTTTCCATATTTTTCATGGATAACTGAGGCTTACCTTTACTAGATTATTTAAACAAATTATCTACACACATGATTATTCGGAAATCGTGAGATGCGGTCTGGTCCGATGTAGGTTTAAGAAAAACATTTTCTGTATCGTGCCAACGTTTCGATCTTTATTGAGATCATCTTCAGGGCCTGGATTTACAAACATTGTTTAAATTTAACAAATCCATGTCGGATGTGGAAAAAAGTGAATTTATACAAGCAAAAAAATATTTTTTATAATCAAAGTATTTCTACTCATTCAGGGTTAGTTTTCTGCGTAATTGTGCCATTCTTGCGTGTCGCGTTGAGAGTGCCAGTGAGATATTGCTGTTTTATGTTTATATACGTTGGATTTTGAAGGGGTACACAATTTCCGAATAATCATCGACTAACGGTCACTAATCACCACACATATTTACACACAATTCATCAACACTATCTCTTCGGTTCCAACAAGATATATCTTCTCACGTATCAAGAGCTTTGTCGATAGGTGGCCCGCCGAGAATTTGACTCGTAGCAGAAGGGTCATTGTCACTCGATTAAGGATAGGCCATACCAGGTTGACACGACCAAAGCCCACTTGTGTGCACGGCATGTAGAGAAAGGTTGCTCCACTTTTCCCACTTAACTGAAGTGACCTCATACTCACATGCTCACTCCACCTTTACTATTTATATTAAGATGCAATCTGTCCCCAGACTGCCAATTCCCGAGGTGGGTGATTCTCGAGGCATACAGGCAATTTATTGTAAATGATACAAAAGCTGGAATTGCCGGCGAATTGTGAGAAGTGATAGGTTCAACTCTACACGTGTTTGTACATGTGGACATTCATGTGCAGATTTTAGCTTATATAAATCAGTAATCAGTAACAAGATATATGGAATGATCGGAATTAAAAATCCAAATATTAATTCTAACAAATCTTTTTTTTTTATAATATATTTTCACGCGAATTCATTTACTCGCAGAATTTGACTGGACAGCATAAGTTCACGGGACTGAATTGAATCAGAAATTTGTTTTAGTATGAAATTTTTGCCCCACAAAACATTTTCCCCTGTTTAAAAAAACTTAATTTATTGTATTTTCCATTTTAAGGAGGATAACAATCGTCAAATCATTTCAATAGTCAGATGCGTATTGTTCAACATCTACCTCCGTAATATTTACTTTTAAGTCGAAATATAAACACGTACAAAAACTTTATGAAAACGAACGAACTCCATAACGCGAAGTGCCTTAATCAGTCAACTGCTGTTGACAAGTTTTACCTACATTTCAGTCCCTGCGATTATGCCATTTATCTCTAGTAAAGAAAAAAAAGAAGTTTATCATGATACGGACATCTTTACGATGCATATTTTCCTTATCGATTGAAAATCAAGCAGTCATTTTCCTGAACAGAAACGGTGTAACCGTGCAAAACGCACCATTGTATTCTTTTAATTTCCACCTTCTTAGATAGGTAGAATCGTCACAGTCGATCAGTTGTATAATCTTCGTTTCGCTCTATCAACCGTTCAAAGGCTTCTGATAAATCGGAAAAAATGTTACACATCTTATTTTGTGGGGTCAACGGGGGTGATGAACCTGTGGCTTGGCCGTTTCCGATCATCGTCAGTGAAGCCTGAACGTTTGGCTCGTGGGTCGATAAAAGGACACAACTGACAGAACAACATACAGAACGAACCACTGAAGTTGTTGAAATGTCGGAAAGCGAATAATGGAAGGAACAAACTACTCTTGAATAAGGAAGTAACAGGAACTACATATATACAAAATATCACTCAAACAAACTACTGAAGCTGTAAAATGCCGAAACTTGTGTGACAGGCCAAAATACCGAGCTTAGGCGGACGAAAATGATCGGCAATGACCAAGAAGCACCTCAATCTTTCTTTAACCATCCCGTTCAAGCATCAATGACAAACTACCACCTCTTAAATATGTTGGATTTTGGATTTATACAAGCTCAAATCTGAACGTGTGTGTACATTGTTTCGGGTACTGTCTACAGCTAAGTCGATTCAACACCCAACGCATGCTGTTCCTAGATCCAAACCAGTTCACACTCTCATACATTCTTAAAGTGAAGTACTCGATATTCTCCCATCACTCTCTACATATATTACATTACTCAATATTCAGCATCGACTCTCACACTACACATTCACGTTAATAAATATATTCACTCACAACATATGCTATTTAACAATATGCTATTGTTAGAACGTAGGAGTGGTCACACAGTTAGTTTTAATTTCGGTGAAATACACCAACAAATGTGGTCGAGAGATCCATTTTATTATTCTGAAAGGGTGGCTGAGGAGAAATGTCCTTTTGTCAGATCTTTTTTATCTGAAAGCAGTGTTGATTATTACAAGATTATAACAGCGTGTGGCAAAAGCTCATCCTTGTAAAAACAAAGACCTGCCGTAGACAAAAATTAATCACTGATGACGATACAGCAGGATTTTCTAATAGTTTATTTCCATGTGTGTTCAATACGAATGTAACTATTAATATTAGAATTAATCAACAGTTTATAAGCCTAGACTGCGCAATTAGGATGTAAACCAGTTTGTTATTACACAAGATCTCTAATGGAATAAAAAATAAATAATTGATACGTGGGAAAGAACTGTTGCTTAGAAATAGAAAAATATTTAACTTTCAAATTATAGCTTGTGCGTTTCTGACTAGTTTCGGTGTTTTTCCTCTGCATGATGCATTTCGGCCATCGTCAGTCGTGGGTTTGTCTGAGAATCTGGAATGCCGACGGACAAATATATTGCCTTTAATCAATTAGCTCCTGCTGATAGGGATTAAAATTTTCGGAGATCGTGAGATGCGGTCTGGTGTGACGTAGGTTTTAGAAAAACGTTTTCTTTATCGTTCCATCGTTTCGATCTTTATTGGGATCATCTTCAGAGCTCAAAGTGTTTGTTTTCAGTGTAGATGTGTCATTCTTGTGTGTCGTGTTGAGAGTGAAGAACACACAAGAATGACACAACTACGCAGTAAACAAACACTTTGAGCCCTGAAGATGATCTCAATAAAGATCGAAACGTTGGCACGATACAATGATGTTTTTCTAAAACCTACATCACACCAGACCGCATCTCACGATATCCGAATAATCATTGACTAACAGTCACTAAACACCACACACTTGGAATAGTCATATTTTTTAAAGTAGCAATTAGAAACCAAAGAAACCTAAAACTTCAAATTATGAAAGAAAGTTCCGAGTTGGGAATCGCCCTGGCTAGTAAATTTTTGGTTTGCTTGTTGATTAAGACTAATGATCCTGTGCTAACCGTTGTGAATAGTAAATTTTCTACTGTTTTACAATTTTAAAATTGTTATTTTGATTTAGACGTCCGTTCAAAACTGCATAAATAAGGCTTTTAGTTATAGATGGCGATGCATTTCCCCTCGTAAATTGCCTTTGTTTTAATTGGAATGTAAAGTTGACGTCTGCAAAAATGCTGGCCCAGCTCTTCTACGAGGGAGCGCATTCCCGGAGCAATACATACCACTATTAATTTCTTTCTTTTCTTCCAAACGAAAGTTATCTGCTAATTGGCAACTAATCGACAAGTCTGCACAGACCGACCTGTACAGTATCTTGGGCAACGGGCTTTCAAAGACAATAGGAGAACTTAAGCCGAAGTTATGCGCTAACGAAGATCTTTCCGAGAGTCGGATCGTTAATAACACTTTCTTTGTTTTACTCAGAACATAACACGAGAAGTTTTTAAAACGTAAATAATGTAATACAAAAGAAAAAAGTAAGGAAAGATTCGTGGACATTCAAACTTACGAACCCTACTGCGGGTTTGTGTACTACATATTTTGATCAACGGTTGACCAAAACAGTGAGGATAGGCAGTCCAAAATGATTAGAAACGACATAGGACTCGTAAAGTCGTCTGATCCGGCTTTATTCAATATGCTGAATATAACGAAACATTTTACTCAAATTTTAGTTCATTTCGTTGTAATTATCTGAATTTTTACTACTACGAGTTTTTTAAGGAAGTCTGTGTTCGCAAATGATGATGATGATAAAATAAAAAATAATGATTGTCCATGATAGACTTCAAATGTTCCTGGGATCAGTACCTTCTAATTTCCGTAAAATATGTCCTTTTTTTCAATTAAATTAAATTTCCTCTGGATTTCGTTATCTTATCTTTTACCAGACAGGGTTGATTTTTCTTTTTAATCGTATTTATTTTTATTTTTTGAACTACATATATTCATTCTGCGTTTTTCAGGGCTTTTCTTAATATTCTTATTAGTTGCGAAAAATTTTAAATTTAAGAACAAAGGTAAATTGCTCGTGGGTGTTCTCGTCGGAGAAAAGGGTACTTTGCATATTCAAAATCGATCCGGATCCAAGAGCGATACGAATCGTTGAAACGAAGAAAACAGTGGTTTTAAGCCGGAAAATCGAACTCACGACAATTAGGAAATGTTATCATTCCATTTGCGATATTTTCCTTAGGCATTTAAATTTTGTCAAATTTTATCGTCTTTTACGCTTATTATGTGCTGCAATCCGACCATTTCCTTGTGCCAGTTTTCTGTAATTTGGACACAAGAAAATAGTTGATTAAAATGTATAGTTACAGGAGGTTATACGTAGTATCAAGCAACTCAGATTTTTTTTTTTTTGCTGTTATATTAAAGTCCTAAATCCTTATTTATAGCTCCCATCACCTTAAGCACATTACTCCTTGCAGACTTGCTAGCTGCAATTCAGGACTTCAATTCAGACTAGTAACAGAATAACAGTTCAACTGAGGGTTTGTATGCTACTTTGACTAATGGCTGACAAAATGATATACAAGCCAGTCTCAGAAAATGGCTAAATGCCTGAACTGCTACTACTGAGACTACGCAGATCAAGAACGGAAACCACTAAAACTACAAATTACTCCCTGCAGACCTTAAAAGGAAATCTCACAAATACAAATATCCTGGTCGTTTCCGATGTTTTTGCTCTGCCCGTCATGTTTTGATCAGTCACCATTCGTAAAATTTGTACCTACAGAAGCAAGGACATAGAAAATGTTTTGTACAGATTTTTTCTTGGTTGTGAAAAATATTTCAATTACAGAAGAAAATATGATCACATTTACGTTTTAATATTGGGTTGTCCGGAAAATAATGCAGGATTTTAAGTTTTCATTAAAAAAAATCTATATAAAATATTCTGTTTACGTTTACAGGATTAATTAATCCTCTTCCAAATGATATTGTTTGTTTACCTCTGTAGCATTCCGCTACTTGGAAATAATTCAGTCATCCTTATAATGTCAAAGCGAGAATTTCGTACGATTTTCTTTTACGAGTTTAAACTCGGCCGAAGCGGAGCCCAAACGGCTAGAAACATTAACCAAGTCTGGGGCGAGGGTTGTGTTAATGAGTGCACTGTGCAAAGGTGGTTTAAAAAATTTCGGGAGGGAGATTTCAGCCTTGAAGATGAAGAAGGTCGTGGAAGGCCTTCCTCTCTTAATGATGATGTTCTGCGATCAGTGGTGGAAGAAAACCCCAAAACAACTGTTCGAGAACTTGCAGAGCAACTCAAAGTCAGTAAAACGACCGTCGCTGACCACCTCAAGGCGATTGGAAAAGTGAAAAAACTCGAAAATTGGGTTCCACACTCATTGAACGATCGCCAAAAAAATCAGCGCTTTGATGTTTGTGCATCACTTCTTTGTCGAAACAAAAATGACCCATTTCTGGCCAGAATTGTTACATGTGACGAAAAGTGGATTCTGGACAGTGGCTCGACAAAGGAGAAGCTCCAATACATTTTCCAAAGCCCCCAACTCATCAAAAAAAGGTAATGGTTACGGTATGGTGGGCTTCATTTGGTTTAATACACTACAGCTTCTTAAATCCTGGCGAAACCATCAATGCTGAATCATACTGTAACCAAATTAATACCATGCATCAGAAATTGGCAGTAATGAAGCCCTCTTTGGTCAATCGGAAAGGGCCCATTTTGTTGCATGACAACGCTCGACCACATGTGTCACGTGTAACGTCACAAAAATTATTGGAGCTTGGCTATGAAACTTTGCCTCACCCACCCTACTCTCCGGACCTCTCGCCTACTGACTACCATTTTTTTAGACACCTGGACCACTACTTACAACACATAATATTCAAAAATCAAACGGAACTGGAAAATGCATTTATTGACTTTATCAATTCTAAAAATTCTGAATTCTACTCAGACGGAATTAATAAGTTACCAACACGTTGGGAGAAATGTATTGAGAGTATGGGAAATTATTTTGATTAAAGAACATTGCTTTAAAGTAACTAGTTTCTTTTTTTTTGTTTAATACCAAAATCCTGCATTATTTTCCGGACAACCCAATAATATGTATTATCAACATAAGTGAGATTATTGTTCTGTTACATGATAAAACTAAAAATTGAACTATTAATTAATTAATTTTTTATTAATGTAATTGAATGTTGATTTTTTTTTTTTTCAGGAAGTGGGCTGGCAGGAAAGGGCGCCTAGGTCTTTGTCTGGCGATTACGACAACAATCTTGTTGAAGTACTTAGGTCGACAGCTACTCCAGTACCTAGTACTCTAAGCGTCAGGGATTTGTTTATTAGCGTGAAGACGACTGTACACTATCACCAAGCTCGTCTGCCGGTCATTCTGAAGACATGGTTCCAACTGGCCAAACAACAGGTATGCCTATAAATATGGTTAGATCATAATCAGTTACAAGTACTTTATTGGGTTCCGGGAGGTTAAGATGGGATAGAATAGGTATTAATGGATTGGTGTGAGATTTTGTATAGTCTGGGGCATGTGAGATGTTTAGTTCGATGTGAATGGTGTGATTCCTTACTAAGTCACATTGGGGAAATTTCCTATTGTGCGGGTGGGGCTGGATTGGAATTCTGGATATGATAGAGGTTGGAGTTATTTGCTGCCCCGTAATGTATTAGTTCATAAGGAATGGTTTTACATCAACGACCCCATAGTCCATATGGTCCGTTTAGGTGCAAGTAGTGTTGGGGAGACTGGAAAAAAGGTTTTTCTGTTTAACACTATATGATGGGATTTGTTTTCATACGTTGAATATCCAAGCGCGTGGTACCAGGCTGTATAAGTGTTTGAGTGAGTAGTGGTTATGGCAGATATTAGTGTTAGTTACTGTTGCCCTTTCATAGAATAATACATTACGATATCGGAGAAAAAAGAAAATCAACAGTGTTGAGGGAGGATAGGAGTTATTCCAGGATGCTACTTTCAGGCCACCATGGATAGGCTAAAGAAGATAGGAGGATGTATTCCATAAAGATTCCAAGACACAAAAAAATCGAAAATCTTAGGTTTCCATTGTTAGTTTAAAATGAAACAAAAATGTGGATGTGTAGTTGGAAAGATAACAAACAACAGTCATTTCATGAGGGATCCCCCCCAACAATAGACGGATATTTGATGTTTTGACGTAATTTTATTTATTTTATTATTATTATTATTATTATTAAACAATGCATACTTGAAAGTGAAGCATGTCCAGCCAAATTTAACTGTCTATCAGCTGGTTACTTTACATTTTTAATTTTAGCAGTAGTTTTGTCTATAAGCTATGCAGAATATAAATATACCTTATTAAATATACAATATTAATTGGAAAAAATCTTTGTACGTCCCAGGTTCTTTTTTGATGCAGAGCTTGTATAATGGTTATAATTAAGGTAATAATCTCCCTAGTGATGAGGTTGTTAATCATAATAGAAAGTGAGTTTTTTTATTTTCTTTATTTTTTAAAATTTAATTTAATTTTTTTAAACAAAGTTAATTATGTTTAAAAATTATTAATGTTCTCAATTAGCCAGCATTTTGGGTTAGATTTAATTGTTTTTTTATTCGGCATTCTTTCATCCATACAGAATGAGGGATTTTGTTAAATAAATATGGTATGCTATAATTTAAGCATCTCTCATCATTGTTGGAGTGTATAAGTCAAATAATTCTGTATTTCTCGTTAATTTAATTTTTTCCCTACATTTCCTATAATAGTTCCCCTTGAACATTAAAATAATTGTGAAGACATGACAAGTTTGGGAGTAAGAGTTTGACCTATTTTGAGGTTATATATATACTGCATAACAATGCACCTTATAATTCCTAAGTGTACCTTTCTGTAAAGAATTTATTTTGTTTAATTGACAACTGGCCGCTACACCATAGCTTTCTGCTCCGTATCGAATTAACGATTCAAAAATGGCTTCATATACCATACTAATGGTATCTTGGTTAAGGAAGTAACGCAAATGATTAATAATACAATAATACAGCTGCGTAATCTTCGATAATAAAAGATATTTTGCCGTTTGCACACTTGTCTATCGTCATCAATCACCTTGAAACTTCTACGTTCTTGCTGTAAGCTAAGGATGTACATGGTGTTTAATAATGTGTAATAGAAAAACATTCAGCTTGTTGATTCCTGGTTATTCTCGATAGTAGTCCTTTCGATTCTATCCAAAAATTATTAAACAACAAACCGTAGCACAATTAAATAAACAGCCATACATGGAAAGGGAATGGGGGAGAATGAACGGCTCTACAAAAAGACATCAATGGTTGACCATATTCTGATGAAAATGTCCAGATAATAATTTAGTTGCAACAATTAGATGTTTTTCCTTGTTGGTTTGGTACAATTGATCGGGCTTCGATAGCGGCTCAGCCTGGGGAAAATCTTTTGATCATTTTCTCGAAGGGTGGCTGTTTCGACACACGTGTTTGGTACACGCGTCGTACGCGTCACTTTCCCACGGTCTCTTGGCCAAACCAGATCGAAAGAAACACATGGCGATAATTAACGGCTCCTGTTTCCGTTCCTCCCTTTTCCCCTTTTCCAAAGCAATGTCTATCCCAAAATCCCCAGAGGACAACCAGTTATAATGACAGCTATGCCCTCTCTATCCAAACTGTTTTTAAACTGTTATTTACAGTTAATTTCAAAATAAAGGTATGGATTTTTGAACTTGGAATTTATTTAATAGATAATTTTACATACATTTTGTAAAAAAGTGAATAAAAGCGGAATGTTTAGGACATTATACATCCTTGTGGCAGAGGACTTAAATATATTTACAATTTTTGCTAATTTGGCCTAAAGAAATGAAGAACAGTGGTTAAAAATTATTGCAAAAACCATTTGCAGTAGGATTAAATAAATTATAAGTACAATAAACTTAGGACACAGCGCCATTGTTTTACTAGAATTATCTAAGTTAAATAATTACACATTTACTTCAAGAGATAACCATTTACATCAATAGATTAATAAATAAGCAATTTACTAATAATTACATATATTATAAATTATAAATCATTGACTAGACATGTACAATAGATAAGTTTAATACAACACATTTACTTTAACAATAACTAATATCATAAATAAATTAATAAATAAGCAAGTTAATAAATAATTACTAATTATTATAAATCAAAATCATTGACTAGATTTGTACAATATCTAATCAAATAATTCCTCATTTCTTTGGTAAATAAATTAAATAATTTAATTAATAAATAATTTAGTAAATAATAACACAGTGAATAAATATATAAAGCAGTCATATTAAAATGTGTTTGATCCTTCTGTGTTTCCAATTTTTGTTGAGGTTGTAGTTTCCTACATTCTTTACTGCCGTATTTGTACTCTCAGCTCTGCGTTTAAAAAAGGAGCTAGTTAATCTTTTGATATTATCCTTAATGTATGAGATGTTTAAAATTTCATGCATATGGCTTACAAGAGCACTTCTTTTAGAGGATGTTATTAACCTTAGAAAGTTATTAAATTCTCTAGTTTTCGTGGTCCGATTGACCAATTAATATCTTTCAATTAATTAAGGTTTTTAGTTGAGATAAAAAAGTCAGTGTCACGAGCGGGATTCGAGCCCTCGACTTCAGCCACGATAGCTCAAGTGGTAGAGTAGCGGCGTATCTAGCCGAAGGTCGTGGGTTCGAATCCCGCTCGTGACACTGACTTTTTTTATTTCAACTAAAAACCTTAATTACTTAAAAATTTATTTTGAATTGTTTGTAAGCACTTTATATTGGTGTTATTTGTGTAGCTCCATATCTGACAGGTGTATAACAGCATGGGTCTAACTATGGTGTTATATATAATTAGTTCATTTTGGAGGCTCATCCCTGATTCTCTACACATTAATGGGAACAGGGTCTTGATAGCACACTTCCCTTTATCAACCTTTTTAAGAACCAAGGTATTGAACACTATAGCGCCAAGGAACATTTGAATCACCGATTTATAAATTCCCTATGCATAGGATGTCGTTTTGTGAATAGAATTGCTTCATTTTTTGTTGTGTTTAACCTAAGTTTCCATCTGTGGCAGAACCTAACGATCCTATGTAGGTTTCGGTTCAATTAGTACGTAAAATAGCACTTACTCTCCACGATGAACAGTATATTGCTATGTCATCAGCATACATAGCTATTTCACAGTCTCGCCTAGGGAGTGCATTCATAGATAAAAATAAACGTATAAATTGTGGAGAAATGTCGCTTAATAGGGTTATCCTTTCGGTGCTATTATCTTCAAAATCTCTAGTTAGTTAGTTCTATTATCTCAAATTCGACGAAATTTTGTGTTCTAGTTGCCGGAGGTTTTTCCAATAGTCCAACAATTTTTGAATATTTGAATTTTATTGCATATAATTTTTGATTTACAATATTTGTTCACATGGTTGTATTCAGTTGGCTCCAGAGCATTATTGCCATTTTTTCATTTAGGCTGCGATATAAAAACCATTTTATCTTCAAATATGGGATACAATAGCTCTTAAAAGGCGCTGTATATTACACCCCGACCAATACATTTTCATCTTAAAATATACATTAATCGTAAAATAGTTGAAGGGCAAATATATATAAAAAAACAGGCATTTCCCAACACAATAAAGATATTAAACGCAACATTAGGTGAAGATACATGAGTTCAATAAATAAATAAGACAATTAGAATATTCAAGTACATGATATACATAGCAAATCAATTAACATACAAAGACTTAACATCTATTTACATATTATTTACCTCAGCAATTGGTTGAACCAAGTACATTGGATATATTTACTTTTAACATATTTTCATTATTTTTCAAACATGTGCTTAAATCTTCCATGCTTGTACTTACGGTAATTCAAGTCTTCCCTATTATAGTACACAATAAAATGATTTTTGGCTTTTATGCAAAAATTATAAAATTTTACAATTGCTGTAGATGTTAAGCTAGGTACGTTTATATTTACATGCATATAGTCCATCGGAGTCCTGGAAATCCTTCACTAATTATTTGTGCAGCATTTTGTACTACCAGCTTAGCAACATTGAGTTTAGACATATTTCTCCAAATGGGAGCACCGTCCAACGTAAGAATTTACAAAAAATAGATAAGATTGTTCAAATTTTTATTGTTTCAATTGGATATTGAGAAAAGTGGACCTTTCTTGAAGAAATTTTAACAAGTTACTTGAGGGATCGGGAAAACGGAAAAATCCCTCTTTTTCGCCTATAGTCGACATCTAGCAGGCCTAGATAGCCATGATGACTTTTTTGTGTACAAACTGATATATACGTAATAAATGTTACATTTTGTTCAAAGTTTGTCACATTTGTGATTTCTGAAGGCTTGGGAAGTTAAAACACCTTGTTTTACCCTAATTTCGTTTTTATTATTGAGCGAACGTTTTGTTTTTAATTATTATGAATTCAAAAAATGTTTTTTGAAAAAATCATGGCAAAAGGTTCGAAGAAATTGGACGTGTGAAGACTGACGTAGAAAATACAATTATTTATTTAATATTTTTAAAATTTGTTAGTTATATAATTACTTATTATTAAATTTTACGAATAAAAACTTATAAATATTGGTAATATGATGTCTGTGTCTCCTTCAAATCCCATGGTTGCACTTTTCCAAAAATTGTTTAAGAAGATGTACGTTTTGATTACATCACAATATTCGAAAAGAATTGAAATTTGATTTTAAAAATTTCTCACAGACCCCACTTTCAGAAACACTACATTAGACAATAACTGAATTATTATTAAAACTTTATAAGGTACATTATTAAGTTAGGATAACAAAAAATGTACAAAGAAAATGGAATATGATTTCACGTAGTGCCTGCTTAAAGTATTGTGACATAGCGTTTAATTAATAATTTTAAACTGGTTTTGAAATAAACGAACTTTTTGTGTTCCCCAGTGTGGTATTTTAATTGTATCTGAGTCCTCGAACTTAAGACGAATCAATAAAATTCAAGGCGATTTCCGATTAAAGAGAAATCTCCGCCGGAGCGGTTTTTCAGCATGTCAACCTAAGCATGAAATAAAAAAACCGGGTTTGGAATTATCCGCCCGCATCTCGACATTTTCATGTGGGTCCGACCAATGTATCTTGTAGGTCTAATAATTATTTTAAGCACAAATGTATCAATTATCAGTATTGTTTATAATCCCGACGAATTAAATTTCGAGAAACGGATGATGACAACCCGGTGCGAGCACACTACGTGTCGTCGATCGTCACCGGACCATCATTCTCAATCAAACGAGTCCCCTAACCCAATTAACACCAACTGGCACCGATCTCGGTTCGAACAAATAAATTTCTGATCGGACGATCGGAATTCCAATGGAATCCAGACCAGGACGATAGTTATCTCAAACCCTTTTGTCAACCTCTAATTGGACTTATCTTCTGTTTCAGACTTGGTTTTTTACCGACGCAGATGACGAGGAGTTCCAAAAGAAAACAAGTGAGTAATCAAATATGCAATTTATTATCATTTTGGTTTTGCAACAAACAATGTAACTTATTTGATTTTAAAAAAACCGTGCTCGTTTATGCTCCAAGGACGGTGTTAAACTGTTGCATATGTCAATTGGGGGTGTGCTTAATAAAGGTTTCTTAAATTTTATTGTAATTCTTAATTACACAACACTTTAACAATAACGGTAGTGGAGAGAGGTGTTATTTGAAACATTTGGTGAGTAGTAAGCCTAGCAGCAGTCCTCACATGGTTATTTGATATTGTATGGCTTATGATCTGCTCAGTGTAATAGAGAATAATAAAACAGAAATAAGTATAACAGAAATGGAAACAAATAGACAAATATGGGATGACGTTTATGAAAGTGGTACCACGGAAGAATGCAGCACAGCCTTGTTAGCGTCATCAATCATTTGGTGAGGAGTAAGCCTAGCAGCAGTCCTCACATGGTTATTTGATATTGTATGGATTATGATCTGCACAGTATGATAGAGAATAATAAAACGGGAATAAGTATAACAGAAATGGAAGCAAATAGACAACTAAGGGATGACGTATATGAAAGTTGTACTACGGAAGAACATAGCGTTGTTAGCGACCTCCAGGCATTCAAGTGGTATGGTTGCCTCGCGTTAATTTTGAAGTAGTTGATTTACATGAGTTGTCATGGACGAGTTGGACTAAGACAATTTTGCGAATTTGGTTATATGGAGATCATATTGCAAAGTGGTGTTTCACACGCCCTGTAGCTCCTGTGATCATTACTTTTGCCACAGTAACTATAATGCATGTTACTTGTCAAAACGTACCTGTTCAGCTAGACTTTCAGAATTTGATACTAAATACAGTTGTTCATTGCTCTTTGTAATGTTTTATCATGATACATATATGAGTTGGTATATCAAAGTTTAAAGGTAGAACTGATAATTCCGTTTTAACCTAAAAGTGATACTTACAAATAAACTTGAAGTCGTTCTCATTAAAAACCTTTCTTGTTCCAGTCCTCGATGTTTCTAACTTGCGCTAGGAGATTTTAAGTTGTGGAGTTTTAAAGTGTTTGTTACTTTTATGAGCCTGGTCGTCGTTATGGACAGGAAATTAAATGGTTTGTTCTTTTCTGATTTTGGTGTTAATGACAGTGGCCCTTATTGTGCAACCATGACAGACAGGTAAATGCTTCTTTGGAGTTCTAAGGACTCCTTACTGGTTAGAAGAAATTGAAGTTGTCTGATCGTATTGTTCATTTTTTAATAAGTTAACCAAAGTGTCTGTTCCTACAAGCTTTTGAACAATTAGGTGCAATCAAAGGTATTTGACGGGAAAGTTTCGCCAATACTATTTGAGCATGTGTGTTCATCTTTCAATCTGACTTATGGGGATTGACAAAGACCCTCCATTTCTTCCACAGTAGCTTACTTCATCAATGGTCATCCCTCGTTTTTCAGTGTTGTCGTTCCTTTGGATTAGCCGGCAACTTAATGGGCGAATTTGGGCTAGACAGATCACAATCGTCAATGATTAAGGTGAACAGAATTTTTCCGTTTGAAAGGAGTCTGCAGTATTTTCTTAATTTTCGCCAGCAGAATGTTTAGTTTTTAATATGTCAAATAAAACGAATTAAACGATAATAAGAGGAAATAGATATTTAAGAGATGTAATTTTTATAAATATGTATCTCAATTTTTGGTTAAATTTTCTTTTTGAAGTACTGCTTATCAAAAATTGTTTCAACGTTATTTTACCTTACATTCGGCATAGATAAAAACAAAATTCACTCGAGACTACTTGAAGTTTAAAGTTAAGAAAGGTTTAAATGTATTTCCTCCGTGGCTTTTTAATGCAAAGTTTTTTAAAAATAAAACACGTTTCACGCTCTGCTGCTTCCACCTGTAGATGCCAATCAAGTCCTGTTGCTTCTCAGCGGAAGCGTCGGAAGACAGTGGAAGTTCCCACGAATTGAACTTCTCCTCATTAGCGAGACCACACTACTTACATTAGTCTGACCGTCGGCGGGCCACCTGCCTTTTTCGACCCAAGGACCCCAACACGCCACATCACCTGTACCCTCCGTGGTACCTATCAGTGCAAAAGGGCCCCGATTCAATCTTGCCCACCTGCCTCTACAAACTGTTGTCCACGTGATTAAGCCATCTGGCAACGTTCACAATTCTAATGTTCCGTTTATTTCGAAAAATCTTAAGCGTAAAGGGGCATGGACCTGCCGACTAAACAACTCGTTTCTCGAATGGGACATCACGTAACGACTGTTTCCGACTCATCAGAAACAGATTAACACTCTGTTTTTATATAATATGTCGTCGAATCAGCGTTCTTTAATTATATAATATTTTTTATTATCAAAAAGAAAGGAATATAACGACGTAATTTGTATAAAGATATAAGATGGTCACCACATCATGGGCCTATTTCATAATGCAGCTAATAGAGTTAGTTAAAACATTAACAACAAACCCAAGTACACGAAGTACAAGCATTAATACTTACTGTTTCATAATGGAGAGGACCTCATTAATATTACAAATAATTCCCTAATTTCGTGGTCCGCTTGGTCAATTAATATATTATAATTAATTAAGGTTTTTAGTTGAGATAAAAAAGTCAATGGTACGAGCGGGATTCGAACCCACGATCTTCGGCTTGATACGCCGCTGCTCTACCNGTCACGATAGCTCAAGTGGTAGAGCAGCGGCGTATCAAGCCGAAGATCGTGGGTTCGAATCCCGCTCGTACCATTGACTTTTTTATCTCAACTAAAAACCTAATTAATTATAATTACAAATAATATTGTACAAGCAAAAATCTACAAAGGTACAATTCAGCTGTACAGTTAGAGAGAGAAACCGAGAATCAAACACATTTGTTGTTTCAAGCAATACAGATTGTTATTGTTTATTGCTGTCATAATACTTAATATATTAGTTTTCATTATCTTGATTATATACGAGACGCTTTGTATACCAGTGATTTATCCATTACGATGATACACAAGAAAGCTTCGGACCTTCCTTATTATTGATATTAAATTACCTATTAATAAGCAAAAGGGGTCATATTTAAGGAGGAATCAGCAATCCATCCATTCAAAAAACGTGAGGAAAATGGGCTATATTGAAAAACGAATTTTCTAATTGTGGTGACGCTTTCTGGCATGCAAAAATAGTGGGAAATAAATGAATATCGAATATACCATACATGTCAACAACTTTGTGGAAATTTGTACCACCTCCATCCAGTGCAATGTAATGCAATATTTCTTTTGGCGAAAGTGCGCCCCTTTTCGCGTAGGGTTTTCTTTTAGTGATACATCGGTGGCGACTCGAGTCGGTAGGATGACCATTCTTTAAATTCAGGGGGACCGCGGTAGCCGAGTGGTTAGCATGAGAGACTCTCACGCCGCGGTCGTGGGTTCGATTCCCACACAAAGAATTCGTACCATGGCTAATATGCAAGATCATAAGGCCAATAAAAAAAAAATTCTTTAAATTCAAAAACAACTTGTTCAGACAGAATTGATCCATGTTCTGCATGTCTGGTAATATTTTTCGAGCCAGCGTCAGCAATTTGTTCGTCCTCACTACTGAAAAATAATCCTCTAGCATCGTAAAAAGTGCAGGAGCAAAAGTAAACCTAACCTTTGGAAGTTACACTAAATTTTATATACAGGCGGTCTGAGACTTGTATTAATAGTACAAATAAAGAACTTTTTTTACAAATTTGGATTATTAGTGACTGTGTATGTAACGGAATTCCTTGTATTTTGAACAATTTTTGTTGAAATTTCGACTTTAAAATTTGTACGTCGTATTGTTGTATTTTTTATGATGAAACAAAAGTTTACAAATTACAAGCTACTACACCAATGTATTTCATTATGAAAATGGCTTAGTTGTTCGCACTGAGAATTTGTTGAATAGTGATCAAATTGAACATAAACATTAGTTAAAACAATGTTTCCAACAAAACCTAAAATATAAAACACAAAATTTTAAAACAAATCTGTTAGTAGGTGTTTATACATTTAAAACTTTCATAAAAAAGAACATAAAATGATCAAAGATGTGATGTACATATTGGTTTTAAATGTTGCTATTTCTTGCAGTTTTCACGAGATCTTTTTCACAATACTTGATTGATTTTTGTTTACATTTTACATTTTACAAATACAGTTATAAATTTCAACTAAAAACAATAAAAAACAGACATATTTTTTACATTAGAAAAATATTCATAAAACGATTGGACACCAGTAGTTAGTTGGTGTAGTCTGTATAAGGACCACAAATCGGTGTGAGGTCAAAAATAATTTTATCGTTTTGTCGATGCTTTCCGAAAACGTCAGACATAGCAAACTCGTCCTATAAGTTATAAATCGATTTGCTTTTTCTATACTGTTATTTCTTCCCATTTGACTTGTGTACAGGAAAAAAATAACCGTCCTCTAGAACCATTTTGCAATGTGTATTCACTAGTCAAATATCTATTTGTTTCCTTAATCTTTTTTAGAATATTAGTACCAAATTAAAACGAAAAAGTAGAATTATTCTTCTAATTGTCAACCGCATGGTAAAGACGGTTTCTAAATCACAGCCGAGGCTATAACTAATGCTCCATGGGGGTTCCACGAGGCCGATCGGCGAGATCAAAATATTAACGCATACACCCCGGAGCGGGCATTAATTAGAAAAATGTTGTAGAAGAGTCCCTGCAGAGGACGGAGTCAAAACATAACGCACATAATTAAGACGACCCCAGTATATCACCTCCCGGGCGCGACGTTTCCATTATCCACGGGGGAAAAAACCAAGCTTGCGAAGGGATAAATAACAAAAGCAATTACCAAAATGGCTTTTATCATAAATATGTAAATAAACCTCTTCAATTGTATCTTGCAAACAACTTATCCCGTGTTGACGGTGGAAGTCTTTCTAGTTGAGTAACTTTATAATAACAGGAAAGAAGCGGTATTGCCATTTGTCACGAATCGCAAGTCAGAAGCAAGTCAATACAGGCTCTGTGATTGTTTATTACTATTCTTCTTGGCTTCAAATATTCGTCTTATAAGCGTAATGTATGTAAAATATACAGCAAAGAAATTAATGTCATAGCTGTGAGATTTCTTCTTGACCCTGCGGGTACTGCACATGTAATTTGGTCATTAAATAGTATTTTAACCCGCGTGTCCTCATTGTTGATCTCTTTAGTGGTGGAATTGCTGGGCCAACACAAACCAAAGTTATACATGTCACTTTTATTGTATACTGATGTACAATTACAAAGTAATCCCATGTTCATTAGACATACAAACTTTCCTTGTTTTTCCTATTGCTAACATTTATTATTTTCTGCATGATCATGGCAATGTATTGCATTGTTTAGATTTTCACCTCGAAGGGTTGTTTCTCACCGCTGTGCTGACCCTAGGGTCAATACCTCAAGGGAGTTCACCTAACCGCTAGTATCTCCTCTCAAATGCTCAGGAGATAGTTGCTTTCCAACCAACGGTGGCTTTCGTCAGCTAGGACATTTCAGCCTCCACACATGTAAACTATATCTAGCCTAAAACTAACTTCTATAGTCAGTCGCCCAAATAAATACATTAACAGCTATGTGCATACTCATTCTGATTAGTGGAGTAATCCATATTCCTCCATCCACCTACACACATTACTAATAATCTAATCTAAATTAAGGTCGTTGGAGTAATTTTATAAATATTCCGCCATCGTACGTAAACATACACACTATTGGAAGGACGATGGTGACGCTGTATTTCACCTTCATCCTCACCACTCACACACATAAAACATACGGTCATACAAAACTCATAACAGTAACATATAAAACAGATCATATCCGATTTAAAAAAAAAAACACGTCGTCCAAAAATTAGAACAGAGGACCTAGAAACTCGCTACCGTGTCCGAGAACGATTCTTAAATTCGGCGACATGCCTACACGCTCAATGTAAGGTCACGACCTTTCTCTGCATACGAGGCACCTGTATTGCATTGTTGAAATTAGAACGTTAGAAAACACAAATTATTCTGAAAATGCGCAAAATCTTACGAAAATGCAATATTTGATTTTTTAAATTTAAATATAATTGAAGCTTTAACATTATCCACTTAAAAGAACAATAACCAATAATTTTTTTCTTATCAACATAGAATATTTTAAAACACTTTTTGGTCTGTTATTCACAGTTAAAGGTCTAATTAAATCTGAACTGTAATTAATCGAACATGAAAGTTTATTAGTTGAAGCAACGCGTAGTAAATGCCAAGAGTTGGTTATATTTGGGGTCAAATGCGGTCAGGCAATTTCAAAAAGGTTAACTGCCCTTCCATAATTTACAAGTAAATTGGCATTCAATCTGCCCGAATGAGCCGTACGCTAATAAAAATGTAGAAAATTGTTTCTAACGGTCGAACATATTCCAGATTTTCTAATAACGCTAGTACTGGAATTATAGAGCTGAATATACAAGCTGGTATTACTGTAAATCCTTTACCAAAGAATGAGATCCGTGTTTTTAACTATGGTAATGATCAAAATAACAGTTGGGGTTTTTTTTAAGCAAAAATAAAAGATCATAAACGTACGATCAAATTTGGATAGGGTTAGTTGGAAAATATCAATGTAAACTTTTTTATAGTCAAAATTGTGACCATTTTGTACAGTAACAAAAATAAATCAACAGTTAATTGTTTTTGTGTTTTCAGATGGACATATGGTTAACACAAACTGTTCATCGTCTCACAACAGGAAGGCGCTGTGCTGCAAAATGTCGGTTGAGCTTGACTCCTTCTTGGAGAGTAATAAAAAGTAAGTGGTGCATCCTGTTTAAAGTGTTAACATTGTATTGTCCAAGGAAGAAGGGTTTTGGGACTTGCAGAATTTTAATATTTGAATTGTTTTTCTTAATTGCTATCCAAGATCTTTAGGCATATTTAATGAAACGTTGAAATGTCCATGCCATATCGTAATTGGACCGACTATAACGGTATCCTTCATTCAATTCGGAACATTTCTCATAGCACTCCAAACCAATTTAAAAATTTTCCTAGTAAGAAAATTTGGACTTTTTAATATTATGAAGTAGTCATTTTTGATTTTAGGCCTGTGTTAGTTGTGCCTTTTGGGTTGATTTAAGTCGAAGTCGTAAATGAAATTAGGTACTGATGATGTATTGGATCTTCTTGAGGTCATTACAGGTGAATAAAGAACATCACTATTGGGTTTCACCAAGCTTTCAGCGAATGTTCCGCCAACATCAGGGCATGTAAATTGAAATTCGACGAAGAATTCTAGTTGACGTTGATCGACCTACGTAGTTTAAAATGATGTATTGGATCTTCTTGAGGTCATTACAGGTGAATAAAGAACATCACTATTGGGTTTCACCAAGCTCTCGGCGAATGTTCCGCCATCATCAGGTGAATAAAAAACATCACTATTGGGTTTCTAATAAAGAACATCACTATTGGGTTTCTAATAAAGAACATCACTATTGGGTTTCACTATTGGGTTAGTGTTAGAGGCTTCTCCCTCTTCAGAAACAACGTACACGCGCCGAAGAATCTTCTTTTCAAAAATTATCAACAGTTTAACGTCGAATCTCGTCATGACACGAGCTTTTGAACCATACATGAGGTCGTCTTACACAAATTGCTTTCTTATTCCATGATACAAATTTTTACAAAATTGCAATAATTACAAATTACAAAACTCTTTGTGTGCCAGGTTATTTCGAAAAAGCATTTATCTTACCCACTTTCTTCTTGACCTCTAAGAAGATATCGTTATGTGTGACGACTTTGCACATTCTAGGGCTTTTCACCTGTCTTCCTGTGTGTATTTGGTTTTAATGATATAAATTCCCAGGAGATCAGGTTAAGAAATAACGTTTTTTCCTATGATACCGATCATCTGAATCGGTCAAAATCTTTATCGACTTGTGGAAAATAATGAAGTTTACTGGATGCTGGCTTTGCGAAACATGTGATTCATAATTTAGTTAAAGAGTTGACACGATAGTGCATCTCCTTCTCTTAAACCCTTATTAGCTCTAAATTAAGCGGTAAAGTTTCCGTGCTCTTTACATCCAACGTCTTCCATAGTCATTCTACTGAGGCGTACGAGTTTGGAATACATAATTTCAGAGTTTTTCTCTATGAACGCTAACATGGGCTGACCTGAAGTTCACAAATAGGTGTCTGGAGGGTCCCTTTACCCTTTCTAACAAATTTCGTTCAGGTTAAGGTTTGATCTGTGGAAGACTTTTTTTTCATCCAAACCCTGACTGGTATGCATCTGCCTTTCTCGGCATGTGTAAGTACTCTGGCACTGGTGCTGTTGATGCCCTGTCAGATCATGGAGACAGTAAAACAACGTCGTGAATTTATTTTCATTTAGTTCCTACACACAAATCCATCGTGCGAAGACCCAAAATAAATTTTTCCTTATTTGTTATAAAAGAAGTCCTGGTTGTTTTCATGGATTTTTCTACTGGTCTTAAACCTTCTTTGGGAGAAGAGAAAAGATCACTGGCAAACAAATTTTGGAATCCTCTTCATGTTTTCTTGATGCGATTTTTAGTAATAGTAACAAATAATTTGAGATTTATTTTACACTACAAAAATAAGACAAATTCTTCACTGCCGAAACGCGCCTGACAGGCGAGGAAGGACTAGAAGACGACCGAACTACAAATAATTTTATTCTAACTTTTAGAAATTGAACTGAAAAACAAGTTGGATGGGAATTTAAAGATTGATTGCAGCTTTTCACTTAAATAATTTGAAGTCCGTTTCGAAATCGATTACGCGATTTATTACGGTCCGACGCTGCTCTCTCCTTTTAAATTAGGAGCATAATTTTGTCTGTGCGAGTCAACTATCCGGGGGCCAATTAAGGTAGATCTTTTTCGATCAATTAGAAGGAATTCTAAACTGCCCAAAACAACCAACTCGATCATTCTCAGTGATAAATAGAAAAAAATATTAAACTTATTTTTCCATTTGGGGTTATCTTCAAAGCAAAAAGCACTCAACTTCCAGTGTGAAAGTTGATGACGGGTGTAATGAGTAATTCGACAAACCTGCGAACTAAGACGAACCCAATAAATGACCCTTCGCCGGTTCAGCATAAGTGAGGCTAGTTGAATTAACTTGAATTAATTCATTTCACGTTCATTCATTCATTTGTCACATTCATTTGAGTTCACCGCCTCAATAATAACAGATGAATATAAAAGTGAATAAAGTGTAATAAAGTACAAGGATTTGTAGATTGAGAAAAAATTAAATTGTATATAAATAATTAATTATTATTTATTAATTTTCAAAGCTTTCATCGGTATAGAAATCTGCATAAGTAGTATCACCAGAGTAACTTTAATGTATGGCACGTGTGAAGTAATGAATGCTTGGTCGAAAGTAATTAACAAGATGCAAATATTCATGCTCTATTGTTGTTATTGCTATTGCTCTTTTATTCAATGTGTTTATGGTTGGCACGTATCAACAGATAGATTATTGCTATCAATACGTGTTGATAAAACGTGGTTTCGGTAATAGGCGGATAAAAAAGATCCACCTTGATAAATTCACACTTAAATGAATCCCACTTCTGTTTCGTGTTTTGAATTACAATCCGGTACTCGTAATAAATTGGCGCTTCAGTCCAATCAGTATGCACGGCGTCTAAACAATTTCCGAGACGTTCCTGTTAAATTGTACCGACGAATGAAGAATTTTGTACAATTGCTATTTCCTTGTTCGATCGTCATAAATTTAAAATGAAGCAAAATCGCGGTGTCAGCCAATTTAAGAATTGAACCTGTGCGTTTTTACACCGTCTCTGAAAGAAGTCCGAAGGGGGTTTCGAATGTCCGTTCTGTATAAAGTCATTTTGATAGATCGGTACTGTGATGTTTTATGAGGAGTTATGCCAGATAGTTTTTCTCTTTTTCTTCTTTTTTTAACGGGTTCGCAACAGTGTAGGTGTTTCCGGGGTGGGGTGTTTTTGGAATAAAACTGCAAGTTGGGATGTACTTTGGTTTACCTTACAGTGCCCACCGACCCTGATGGAATTATTTCGCTCCACCATTGGTTACAGCCCAATATTTAGCATTAAGATTATTTGGAGATAGTGAGATGCGGTCTGGTGTGACGTAGGTTTTTAGAAAAACATTTTCTTTATCGTGTCGTTTCAAACTTTATTGAGATCATCTTCAGAGTTCAAAGTGTTTGTTTTCTGCGTAGTTGTGTCATTCTTGTGTGTCGTGTTGAGAGTGAAGAACACAAAAGAATGGCACAACTACGCAGAAAACAAACGCTTTGAGCCCTGAAGATGATCTCAATAAAGATCGAAACGTTGGCACGATAAAGGAAATGTTTTTCTAAAAACCTACGTTGACCGCATCTCACGATCGCCAAATAATCATTGGATAACGGTCACTAAACACCACACATTTAGCATTAAGGGTTTTTTTAACCTCCATCGTCTTACACAGTAATTCTTTAGTTTTATTTGCTGCATTTAGCTTTTCTTTCCCCGTGAGTAGTAACCTTTTCCTTATTAGGCTTTCATAGTAATATAGAATATGTACTGTGGCTTTCAGTTCTTGATAGAAGCCGCGGACAGCATCGACGTCAGAACCACTGACTGCCTGAAACCTATGGTTTTTGGAGTCACCACAAAAATGTGGAAAGTGACGATAAGAAAAGTAACGATGTTTGTACCTTCATGACGTCATGATCAATGAATTCTCTCAAACACCGGGAAGCTAAAAAAAATTCCTACTCCGAAATGTTTGGAACACCAAAGTAATTCAAACATCAACCCTGTTTCTGTAGCAAGGTTTCATTGATGAACTACTTTTCTCCGGATACGACTTCTAAAATGTTGTGACAAGGATGAAAACAGTCACAATGTTGATAACAACCGTTCAGTAAATTAAATTTTATTTTAATAACAAGGTGCTTCTAATGAGGAGAAGGCGGCCACCACCTGCACGTTCTTCGAAAGGGACCATCAGACGGTTCCTCCCACAGCTTTTAATGAAAAGGATGAAAGGATGAGGACACTCGACTTGTCTTAAGTCATTGTCATGTAAAAAAAATCCCAGCCGCTCACTGAATTCATTGTCCATTAAACGAATAAAAAGTACATCTTTATAACCTCTGGATTTAGCTCGTCTATCGAGCACATGGATTGGAATTTCAAAAAACCGATACCGATATTCGAAGAACGATAGGCATCAGTGACTTTAGTCTCGTTCCTTTCCATACTTTATTTATTCTCTCTTTTAGTTTACGATTAAACATTCGTGTGAGATTCAACCAATTTTGGATTGAGTTTTGCTTATTTTGGCCACATGATACCGAAAGAATATTAGAAAAGAAAACTGTTCCAGGATAGATAATGTTCCAATCGATAATGCTTTTTTTAAGGTAGATATGTGTGCTCTTTTATTTTGGATAAAATAAACTACAATATTAGAACTGATGAAAAGCCATGCTTCGTGAAAATCATCCAGAATGGGTTGGAGGTAACCCTCTAAAACTAAGATCACTCACTCAATTAACTGAGGGATGATCACCTCAAGTTTGAGGGACAGTAGAGCCAGTCTTAAAATTACACTGGGGCTTGAAGAAGAAGGCTCTTCGAATCTTGCATTTTTCTGGCTTGAATTCATAAGTTTTCCAATAAGTTTTTTAACTTCTTGCTTAAGATTTTGATTAATAATGTTCAATGGATTGTTTTAAATGCCAAGGATATGTAAAAAGTCAGTGCTAGATTTATCTGTTTAAAAGTGCTTT